CTTCTTTAATATTTTTTCTCGAAATTTTATTAATACTATCATATAGTTTTTATATCATATCATAAACTAGAATCTTCAACCTCAAATTTAACAGATATATCATATCATTACCATTAAAAATACAAATGATATGATTTTTTAAAAAATATGTTAGTTTACAAATTTGACAGTTTCTTCTTTAATATTTTTTTTCTCGAAATTTTATTAAAACTATCATATAGTTTTTATATCATATCATAAACTAGAATCTTCAACCTCAAATTTAACATATATATCATATCATTACCATTAAAAATACAAATGATATGATTTTTTTAAAAATATGTTAGTTTATATTTACAAATTTGACAGTTTCTTCTTTAATATTTTTTTTCTCGAAATTTTATTAATACTATCATATAGTTTTTATATCACATCATAAACTAGAATCTTTACCCTCAAATTTAACATATATATCATATCATTACCATTAAAAATACAAATGATATGATTTTTTTTTTAATATGTTAGTTTATATTTACAAATTTGGCAGTTTCTTCTTTAATATTTGTTTTCTCGAAATTTTATTAATACTATCATACAGTTTTTATATCATATCATAAACTAGAATCTTCAACCTCAAATTTAACATATATATCATATCATTACTATTAAAAATACAAATGATACGATTTTTTTAAAAATATGTTAATTTATATTTACAAATTTGACAGTTTCTTCTTTAATATTTTTTTTCTCGAAATTTTATTAATCCTATCATATAGTTTTTATATCACATCATAAACTAGAATCTTTAAGCTTTAATTTAACATACATGTCATATCATTACCATTAAAAATACAGATGATATGATTTTTTGTAAATTTCATATTCGTAAATTTGACACTTTCGTCTTTAATAATTTTTTCTTGGAAATTTCATTAATATTACCATACAATTTTTTTATTATATCATAAACTAGAATCTTTAAGCTACAATTTATCGTACATATCATATCATGACACTTTAAAATAAAGGTGTCGCTAACTTTTTAGAGTTAGAATCATTCAAAATTGACGTTTTCGTGTTCCACCTCCGCGAGTTGAGGCAAAATAATTCCTTATTTATTCCAAATTAATTTAATTTCAGATTATACACCGTCTCAGAAGGATCGACATCATGTTTAGGAACGTATTCGATCGGAATCCAACCAATCGGCCGATTCCCAGCCACGAAAACCTCGTTTTTAGAAGCACTCGGCGACACAGCGGTCGATTTCGATTTTGGCCAACCAGAAATCAAAAAAACCCAACCAAAATCAAAATTAAAATCAAAACCAAAATCCGCCGTCGATCGATTCAACAATTTAAACATCTCCAGTTTCGAAATGGATCAAAAAATTAATTTGGATTGGCCGATTTATGTTTTGTATAAAAACGGGGATGTTTACGTGGTGATTTTGGATTTGTTTAAGTGAGTTTGGAGTTAATTTTTGGGTTAATTAATTAATTGATGAGGTGGTTTTAGATCCCCGGCGATTGTTAAAGGTCCTTTGGAGATTTTTCCGAAAAATCAAGAGAATTATGGGGAAAATTCTTGCTCGATTTTAGCCCTCCCATCAATCCCAACGATTTTATGTATTTCTACAGAAAATGGGACAATTCACCACGGGATTATTTTAAGTACGGACCAAGAGAATGAAGATTACATTTTGGAAATGTCTAAAGAAGAGAGACCGAGTTTTATTAAAAATCCCGATCGAGCTTTGTATATTTTCGAGTGTATTGAGTTGGAATTGGGTTATTTGGAGGATTCGATTTCAAAAACGATTAATTTCCATCCAAACCAAGCGAATTCGAGCCAATACTTCGTTTATCATTTAACAGGAGTCCATTCGATCCATTTAAAATGCTTGGAAAGGTTGAATAAGTTCATTGATTTCGAAAATGATTGCTCAGAAATCGATATTTTCAGCGATACTTCGCTGGTCGATTACGTTTTGTGCACAAATTTGAGTCAAAAAGTGGATGAGAAATCGGAAAATTTAAACCCTGTCATTGGTTTTACGATATTTTACGATTTCCCATCGATTTTAATTTTATTATCAAACTCTCAATTAGTCACTTTACCTTTATCTTCATTATTTTCGGCCCCAAATCTCGATTTAAACGACCCCGACGATTTAAAAAACATGAATTCGCCTCTAAAAACGATTCTAAACGAGCCTTTCGATGTGAAGATACAAAAAATTCTTCAATTATCTTCAAATCCAATATTAAAAATTCAACAAAAAACGAATCCGACGCAACAGGAATGTTTCGATTTACTCCAAAATTCGTCGAAATTACTTCGCGAGCGCTTCAAAAATCATTTTTCCGCAAAAAACGAAATCGAAAAGCGTTTAAAAACTTTATCGAAACTCAAAGAGTTGCAAAAAGGGGACATTTTGAAACTAAAAGATGACCAAATTGATTTGAGAAACACCGCGGAGAACTTGGCGGAAAAATACGAAGACATCAAAGACAAACAAGACGAGATTTTGAAGCGTTGCGAGACTTTATTGGTACAAATTTCGAAGAGAAAAGTTGAACCGAGTAAGGCGGAGAAATCGTTTTTGGGGGAATTGGAGAGTTCAGGGGAGAAAATCGTGCTTTATGGGAAAGCGATTCAAAAGTTGAAGGAGAAAATTAAATACCAAGAGATTCAAATGAAAAATTGGCATGATCAGACGAAAAGTGAACACAAAAGTATTGGAATTGTGCAAATTGAGGCGATTAAATCGAATTTGCAAGATATGTAAGGTTTTTAATGATTTATTTTTGATTTAATCTGATTAATTTGGGTTTTAGGACCGAGAAGATTACGAATATGATTTCGGAAATTAACGATTATAAGAAACAAATCCACATGAAATGATTTAATTTTAATGTTTTTTTTGTATTATTAAATAATTCTTCAAGATATAATCCCATTTAATTCCACCTCTCAAATCACGTGCTCCAAATAGAGTTTTATATGTAATCCTAATCCTCCAAATTACCTATATAAGAAAGAAAATCGAAAATGTAATAATTTGCGAACAAATTATTTGACAATAATTTCCAAACACGAACTTCCTTGGTTCTGATATAGATATTTTTGAGTATTTAGAAAAGAGAGGTTAATCCAAGCACGTGATATTTTGAGATTAGGTGTTTTTAGAAACAAGAAAGGAAAGAAAAAATTGAGAAAAGGGAAAAAAACAGATTTAGCCTATAAATTTATTGAAGATAAGTTAAGAAGAAAAGAATAGAAGATGAAGAAGGATCGGAATTTATCAACACCGCCACAGTCATTGTAAATATAACGATTTTTTGATTAATATTGAAATGATCGTAATAAGAATCAAAAATGCTTTAATTTGATACCAAACACGATATGTTTGAGTTAAAAAATAAAAAAGTTAGGTTAGAAACTGTCAAATGTCAAATAATCGCCTTTTTTGCTAAAAATTAAGATATCTCGATAACGGGTGGAGATAAATAGGTCAACTTTGGGTTCATTTCAAAGGATTCTTAATTTTCTATCGATTTATGTTAAAAAAAGAATAGCTTTATAACTAGAAAATTTCTCTAAATTGATACTTGGCTTAATTCGGCCTAAATCTTTCTAAACAGTTAACTAATAATATGTAAAAGGTGTGTAAAATAGTATGTAAAAATTTCTTCGGATATTTTATTAAGACTATCATATAGTTTTTATATCGTATCATAAACTACAATCTTTAAGCTTCAATTTAACATATATATCATATCATTACGTTTAAAAATACAGATGATATGATTTTTTGAAAATTTCGTAATATTATCTTTGGTTTGAAAATTTGACAATTTCTTCTCTAATAATCTTTTTCTGGAAATTTTAATAATATTATCATATAGTTTTTATATCATATCATAAACTAGAATCTTTAAACTACAATTTAACATATATATCATATCATTACCATTAAAAATACAAATGATATGATTTTTTTAAAAATATGTTAGTTTATATTTACAAATTTGACAGTTTCTTCTTTAATATTTTTTTTCTCGAAATTTTATTAATACTATCATATAGTTTTTATATCATATCATAAACTAGAATCTTCAACCTCAAATTTAACATATATATCATATCATTACCATTAAAAATACAAATGATATGATTTTTTTAAAAATATGTTAGTTTATATTTACAAATTTGACAGTTTCTTCTTTAATATTTTTTTTCTCGAAATTTTATTAATACTATCATATAGTTTTTATATCATATCATAAACTAGAATCTTCAACCTCAAATTTAACATATATATCATATCATTACCATTAAAAATACAAATGATATGATTTTTTAAAAAATATGTTAGTTTATATTTACAAATTTGACAGTTTCTTCTTTAATATTTTTTTTCTCGAAATTTTATTAATACTACCATATATTTTTTATATCATATCATAAACTAGAATCTTTAAACTACAATTTAACATATATATCATATCATTACCATTAAAAATACAAATGATATGATTTTTTTAAAAATATGTTAGTTTATATATAAAATTTGACAGTTTCTCCTTTAATATTCTTTTTCTCGAAATTTTATTAATACTATCATATAGTTTTTATATCATATCATAAACTAGAATCTTCAACCTCAAATTTAACATATATATCATATCATTACTATTAAAAATACAAGTGATATAATTTTTTAAAAAATATGTTAGTTTATATTTACAAATTGGACAGTTTTTTCTTTAATAATTTTTTTTTGAAATTTTATTAATACTACAATATAGTTTTTATATCATATCATAAACTACAATCTTTAAGCTTCAATTTAAGATACATATCATAACATTATCATTAAAAATACAGACGATATGATTTTTTTAAAACAAGATGTTATTTTATATTTGCAAATTTGACAGTTATTTCTTTAATAATTTTTTTATGGAAATTTTATTGATACTACCATATAGTTTTTATATCATATCATAAACTAGAATCTTTAAACTACAATTTAACATATATATCATATCATTACCATTAAAAATACAAATGATATGATTTTTTTAAAAATATGTTAGTTTATATTTACAAATTTGACAGTTTCTTCTTTAATATTTTTTTTCTCGAAATTTTATTAATACTATCATATAGTTTTTATATCATATCATAAACTAGAATCTTCAACCTCAAATTTAACATATATATCATATCATTACCATTAAAAATACAAATGATATGATTTTTTTAAAAATATGTTAGTTTATATTTACAAATTTGACAGTTTCTTCTTTAATATTCTTTTTCTCGAAATTTTATTAATACTATCATATAGTTTTTATATCATATCATAAACTAGAATCTTCAACCTCAAATTTAACATATATATCATATCATTACCATTAAAAATAGAAATGATATGATTTTTTTAAAAATATGTTAGGTTATATTTACAAATTTGACAGTTTCTTCTTTAATATTTTTTTCTCGAAATTTTATTAATACTATAATATATTTTTTATATCATATCATAAACTAGAATCTTCAACCTCAAATTTAACATATATATCATATCATTACCATTAAAAATACAAATGATATGATTTTTTTTTAATATGTTAGTTTATATTTACAAATTTGACAGTTTTTGCTTTAATATTTTTTTTTCTCGAAATTTTGTTAATACTATCATATATTTTTTATATCATATCATAAACTAGGGCCTTCAACCCCAAATTTGACATATATGTCATATTATTACCATTAAAAATACAAATGATATGGTTTTTTTTTAAAAACAAGTGTTATTTTATATTTGCAAATTTGACAGTTTTACTTTAATAATTTTTTTTTTGAAATTTTATTAATACTACCATATAGGTTTTATATCATATCATAAACTACAATCTTTAAGCTTCAATTTAAGATATATATCATAACATTATCATTAAAAATACAGACGATATGATTTTTTTTAAAACAAGATGTTATTTTATATTTGCAAATTTGACAGTTTTTTCTTTAATAATTTTTTTATGGAAATTTTATTAATACTACCATATAGTTTTTATATCATATCATAAACTAGAATCTTTAAGCTTCAATTTAAGATATATATCATATTATTATCATTAACAATACAGACGATATGATTTTTTTTAAAACATGATGTTATTTTATATTTGCAAATTTGACAGTTATTTCTTTAATAATTTTTTTATGGAAATTTTATTAATACTACCATATAGTTTTTATATCATATCATAAACTAGAATCTTTAAGCTTCAATTTAAGATATATATCATATCATTATCATTAAAAATACAGATGATATGATTTTTTTTAAAACAAGATGTTATTTTATATTTGCAAATTTGACAGTTTTTTCATTAATAATTTTTTTTTTGAAATTTTATTAATACTACCATATAGTTTTTATATCATATCATAATCTAGAATCTTTAAGCTTCGATTTAAGATATATATCATATCATTATCATGCAAAATACAGATGATATGATTTTTTTAATTAATTTTTCTGGAAATTTTATTAACATTATCATATAGTTTTTATATCATATCATAAACTAGAATCTTCAAGCTACAATTTAACATATATATCATATCATTACCATTAAAAATACAAATGATATGATTTTTTTGAAATTTAGTATTATTTTAGAACCAAAAAACAACATGTTGCTAACTTTTTGTAGAGTTAGAATCTTCCAAAGACTAGTGACCGGACCTCTGGCTCGCAGAGGAGCCTCCTTATTTACATCCTTTCTTTTTGTTTCGTTTCAGTTTGTACTTGTGAATGTTTTAAATCCAAATAAGAAAAAAAAATTCATGGGGCAGGATAAGAGCTGAAGAAATAAATCCAGCACTGAAGGAATATAACAAACTAAATTAGAAATTCGGCTGCTGGAGTATGATATGAACCCAAATTCGAACTCCAAACCCATACCTGAAGAGATAATCTCCTGAAAATATGTTAACCTGTTCCTCCTGAAATAATTTCCTGTCAAAAATTAACATAAAAAAAATTTTGGAGAAAAAAGGTGAGCAAATTTAATTTATTAACATATTTATATACAATTATGATATGAACCCAAATTTGAACTGCAAAACCATATCTGAAGGAATAGCAATATAACCTCTCCTGTCACAAATTAACCTCAAAAATATTAACATAAAAAAAATTTTTTGTAGAAAGAAAGGTGAGCAAATTTTATTTATTAACATATTTATATATCATACAATTATGATATGAACCCCATTTAATGAGGTTTAATGAATAACAACATAACCCCTTTTAACCTCTCCTGTCACAAATTAACCTCAAAAAAATTTTTGGAGAAAAAAAGATGAGCAAATTTAATTTATTAACATATTTATATACAATTACGACCCAATATAACAAAATTCGACATCACAAATTAACATTTTCATCTTATAAAGTAAACAAAAAAGCTTATTTAATTCAATTAAGCTTAATTTATTGAGTTGGAGAGAATTGGGTGGGTTCCAAAATGCGACAATGCATCTCTCTAATCAACGGAACCGTATAAGCAACGCACTCATCCCACCCCGGATTACGCCAAGCACTTTCCCTCGTCTCCCTGCGAGCTTGCAAATTTTCATAACCTAAAAAAAATCGATTTAACCTCAATTTTTTTAACCAAACCCAACTTACTCCAAATATGATGCACATTATACAATCTCCCAATTTGCGAAAAAAACCCAGCGAACGCCTCGTTATTATTTTGACGATGATTAATCGCTCGAGCCCAATTATTACCCCATTCGATCATCGTGCCCGGTTTTAAAGCGTACGAACGAATCTCATAGATGTTATTACCCCCTCTCAATTTAATTTGGGGCCAATAACTAAACGCCAACAAGTATTGTAAGTGTCTCGAACGGACTAATTTCCCCTGTTCGTCCCAAAGCTTTGTATAATCCTTATTACTAGACAAAATGGTGTTGGCGGAATCGATTTTTTCAAATCCTCCCTTAAACGACCACAAATGCAACGCTTGGTCTTGATCGCCGACGTTTACGGTCCAAGAACCCACTAATTCGACGGCTTCCGATAACGATTCTTGCGATTTTACTAAATCTAAGGTGTTTTTACTTGAAAAAAATTTTATTTTGAGGTTAGATTTTTTTTTTGACATGTGTCAAATTTTATTTGGTACTTACACGTTTGTTAAATACTCCTTTTTCGAATCGGGCCGAAAATTATGCGTTTGTAACGAATAAACAATTTCTTTATCACTTAACATGCGGCTGTGAGACTCCTTCGTTGGTTCTATTTTTCGCACGAAAATTTTTGAGAGCCAGGCATCTTTATTAGTTGATGTGGTTGAGAAAGCACTTCAAATTGATGATTATAAAACATAAAAATAGTTAATTATAAATAAAGGGGGCTTATTTAGATGGTTTTTTTACCGGATGTTTTTTGACACCCCTTGTATATATCGGAAGTGGTTGCAAGACATTTTTATCGATTTTGAAGACTTTTGGGTTGTTTTTTGCTGGATCACTGTTTTTATTATCAGTTTATTATCTTATCTTACGTTTTAAAAGTATTTTTAAAAAAGTAATTAAAAAGTTTTGTGTTTACCAAAGTGGTAAATCATAACCGAGTGAAGTTAGGCGCGATTCGTTACTTGTCAGTTGATAAAAAACGAAAAATTAAAATAAATCGTTTTATTAATTAATTAATTCGCATTTTAGTCTTAATTTAGGACGTATTAACTTAAAATTAAGATTAATTTGATAATTATTAATTAAATCATTTAATCACCGCAACCAACCTCACTTCACAACTTTCAACAAATTAACTAATTTACCAAAAAAAAACTTTATTCGTATTCATTTATTATTATTATTAATTTAAATACGATTAAAAATCATTTTTTATTAATAATTATAATTAATTTATTTAATTTATTATTGGGGCTAATTTCAGGTGGATTAATTCGCACCGTACGTCACGCACATCTGTTATGTTTTGACAGTTCGTGGTTCGGATGTGTTTTTAAAAACGACCATGAGATCGAAATAAGCTCCTCGTAAAAAAATCGCCGTTTCGTAACTTTCGTGTAATATGCGAGAGAAAATGCCACCGTTTAGGAAGAAAAAATCGTCAAAGAGCTTCCCCGTTAAGGTTTGTTCGCTCGACGCCGAATTGGAGTTCAATTTGGAGGTAAGAAAAAAACGTAAACAATAGATTTTTTTATATTTAACCCTTAGTACGCGATTACTCGACGAATTCGATTAAGTTTATTGTTATTGACTAGATTGCGAAGTAAATTTGGGTTAAAAATAAAAAAAAATTAGTCATAACCTAACTTTTTTTTTTTTATTATTTTTAATCTGTCATATTTGACATTCTTAACCTAACTTTTTTTTAAACGTTAAAAATGAAAAGAAAGTGAAAAATTGCTTTAAGTTTCGATGTGACGTCACAAGTAATACATTTTCCTATTAAACCGGTCAATACCTAACCTACAAATTGTTTATTTTATGGCTAATCACAAAATCTTAAATAAAACTTAAATTACAATGTATATTTACGTATGATACACCTTGTTTTTCTTTTCTATGTTAATACCAGAACTAACACTAAACCTAGAACTAAAAACATTCAAGATTAATGTTTTTTATTTTGTTTTTGAGATAAATGGATCGTGTTTGGACACATTTTAAAGGTTTTTTTTAGTAAAGAATTCATCATGAAGTTGTCCATTTTGACATATTTATAATCTTCATTAAAAGTCCTTTAAAGTGAGTACAAACACGACATATTTATCTTCAATATTAAAGAAGTTATGGGCAACTTCCGGTTAGAAATGTCAATCTCAATTTTGACATATTTGTAATCGTCGTGAAAAATCCTTTAAAATGAGTCCAAACATGATGTGTTTAATTCCAATATTACTCAAGATATAAGCACCTTCCGGTTTGAAATGTCAATGTCATTTTGATATATTCTTAATTTTTATAAAATGTGTCAAAATTTGTCACAAAATCAAAAATGTAATAAAATAAAACAAAAATTAAGGTTGGGTTGGGTTGGGTTAAAAATTAAATTGTTATCTTTATTGTTGCTAACTTCCGGTTTAATGTTTTTTGTTCTATTTTTTTTTTTGTTTTTTGAGATAAATGTGTCGTGTTTGCACTCATTTTAAAGGTTATTTTATAAAGATTACAAATATAATAATAAAATTAAAGTTGGCGTTAGCATTTTCAATATTAATTAAGTTATGGTCAACTTCCGGTTAGAAATGTCAACCTCAATTTTGACATATTTGTAATCATCGTGAAAAATCCTTTAAAATGAGCCCAAACATGATGTGTTTAATTCCAATATTACTCGAGATATAAGCAACTTCCGGTTTGAAATGTCAATGTCATTTTGATATATTTTTGATTTTTATAAAATGTCTTAAAATTCGTCACAAAAACAAAAATATAATTAAAAAATCAAAAATTGAGGTTGGTATTAATATTTAAAAATTAAATTGCTATCTTCATTGTTGCTAACTTCAGGTTTAGTGTTTTTTATACTAATTTTTTTGTTTTTTGAGATAAATGCGTCATGTTTGGACACATTTTAAAGGTTATTTTATAAAGATTACGAATATAATAATAAAATTAAAGTTGACATTAACATCTTCAATATGTATGAAGTTATGGTGAACTTCCGGTTAGAAATGTCAACCTCAATTTTGACATATTTGTAATCGTCGTGAAAAATCCTTTAAAATGAGCCCAAACATGATGTGTTTAATTCCAATATTAAGCGAGATATAAACAACTTCCGGTTTGAAATGTCAATGTCATTTTGATATATTTTTGGTTTTTATAAAATGTCTTAAAATTCGTCACAAAAACAAAAATATAATTAAAGAAATCAAAAATTGAGGTTGGTATTAATATTTAAAAATTAAATTGCTATCTTCATTGTTGCTAACTTCAGGTTTAGCGTTTTTTATTCTAATTTTTTTGTTTTTTGAGATAAGTGCGTCATGTTTGGACTTATTTTAAAGGTTATTTTAGCAAGATTACAAATATAATAATAAAATTAAAGTTGGCGTTAGCATCTTCAATATTAATGAAGTTATGGTCAACTTCCGGTTAGAAATGTCAACCTCAATTTTGACATGTTTGTAATCGTCGTGAAAAATCCTTTAAAATGAGCCCAAACATGATGTATTTAATTCCAATATTACTCGAGATATAAGCAACTTCCGGTTTGAAATGTCAATGTCATTTTGACATATTCTTAATTTTTATAAAATGTCTTAATATTTGTCACAAAAACAAAAATATAATAAAAAAAATCAAAAATTAAGGTTGGTATTAATATTTAAAAATTAAATTGCTATCTTCATTGTTGCTAACTTCCGGTTTAATGTTTTTTATTCTAATTTTTTTGTTTTTTGAGATAAGTGCGTCATGTTTGGACTCATTTTAAAGGTTATTTTATAAAGATTACGAATATAATAATAAAATTAAAGTTGACATTAACGTCTTCAATATTAATGAAGTTATAGTCAACTTCCGGTTAGAAATGTCAACCTCAATTTTGACATATTTGTAATCGTCGTGAAAAATCCTTTAAAATGAGCCCAAACATGATGTGTTTAATTCCAATATTACTCGAGATATAAGCAACTTCCGGTTTGGAATGTCAATGTCATTTTGATATATTCTTGATTTTTATAAAATATTTTAAAATTTATCATAAAAATAAAAATATAATAAAACTAAATTAGAAATTAAGGTTGGTATTAATATTTAAAAATTAAATTGTAGCTGACTTCCGGTTTAATGGTTTTTATTCTAACTTTTTTGTTTTTCGAGATAAATGCGTCATGTTTGGACTCATTTTAAAGGTTATTTTATAAAGATTACGAATATAATAATAAAATTAAAGTTGACATTAACATCTTCAATATTAATGAAGTTATGGTCAACTTCCGGTTAGAAATGTCAACCTCAATTTTGATATATATATATGTAATCGTCGTGAAAAATCCTTTAAAATGAGCCCAAACATGATGTGTTTAATTCCAATATTACTCGAGATATAAGCAACTTCCGGTTTGGAATGTCAATGTCATTTTGATATATTCTTGATTTTTATAAAATATTTTAAAATTTATCATAAAAATAAAAATATAATAAAACTAAATTAGAAATTAAGGTTGGTATTAATATTTAAAAATTAAATTGTAGCTGACTTCCGGTTTAATGGTTTTTATTCTAACTTTTTTGTTTTTCGAGATAAATGCGTCATGTTTGGACTCATTTTAAAGGTTATTTTATAAAGATTACGAATATAATAATAAAATTAAAGTTGACATTAACATCTTCAATATTAATGAAGTTATGGTCAACTTCCGGTTAGAAATGTCAACCTCAATTTTGATATATATATATGTAATCGTCGTGAAAAATCCTTTAAAATGAGCCCAAACACGATACGTTTATTTCCAATATTACTCGAGATATAAGCAACTTCCGGTTTGAAATGTCAATGTCATTTTGATATATTCTTGATTTTTATAAAATGTCTTAAAATTTGTCACAAAAACAAAAATATAATTAAAAAATAAAAATTGAGGTTGGTATTAATATTTAAAAATTAAATTGCTATCTTCATTGTTGCTAACTTCAGGTTTAGCGTTTTTTATTCTAATTTTCTTGAGATAAGTGCGTCATGTTTGTGCTCATTTTAAAGGTTATTTTATAAAGATTACAAATGTAATAATAAAATTAATGTTGGCGTTAGCATCTTCAATATTAATGAAGTTATGGCCAACTTCCGGTTAGGAATGTCAACCTCAATTTTGACATATTTGTAATCATCGTGAAAAGTCCTTTAAAATGAGCCCAAACATGATGTGTTTAATTCCAATATTACTCGAGATATAAGCAACTTCCGGTTTGAAATGTCAATGTCATTTTGATATATTCTTGATTTTTATAAAATGTCTTAAAATTCGTCATAAAAACAAAAATATAATTAAAAAAATCAAAAATTGAGGTTGGTATTAATATTTAAAAATTAAATTGCTATATTCATTGTTGCTAACTTCCGGTTTAATGTTTTTTATTTTAATTTTTCTGTTTTTTGAGATAAATGCGTCATGTTTGGACTCAATTTAAAGGTTATTTTATAAAGATTACGAATATAATAATAAAACTAAAGGTGGCGTTAGCATCTTCAATATTAATGAAGTTATGGTCAACTTCCGGTTAGAAATGTCAATGTCATTTTGATATAGTCTTAATTTTTATAAAATTTGTCACAAAAACAAAAATATAATTAAAAAAATTAGAAATTAAGGTTGGTATTAATATTTAAAAATTAAATTGTTGCTAACTTCCGGTTTAATGTTTTTTATTCTAACTTTTTTGTTTTTTGAGATAAATGCGTCATGTTTGGACTCATTTTAAAGGTTTTTTAATGAAGATGACAAATATGTCAAAATTGACGTTTCAAACCGGAAGTGATCGTATCTCCATTAATATTAAAGTTAAATACGTCGAGTTTGGGCTCATTTTAAAGGTAATTTTATAAAGATTACGAATATAATAATAATTTTAATTTATTTCTTGTAGTGGAAAGCGACAGGAAGGGAATTATTCGATTTAGTATGTCGCACAATCGGGTTACGAGAAACGTGGTACTTCGGGTTACAATACGAAGACTCGAAAGGTTTAATATCTTGGTTAAAGCTCGACAAAAAAGTCCAATACCAAAGCATACAAAAGGACGATCAAAAAACCGCCTCGTTTATGTTCTTAGCTAAATTTTACCCGGAAGAAGTCGCCGAGGAGCTAGTTCAAGAAGTCACTCAACACCTATTTTTCTTACAAGTTAAGCAAGCGATTCTTTCGATGGATATTTATTGCCCCCCCGAAGCTTCGGTTTTATTAGCAAGCTACGCGGTTCAAGCGAAATTCGGGGATTTCGACGAGGATACTTACAAACCGGGGATGTTAGCGAGCGAAGATTTATTACCACAAAGAGTTATCGACCAATATCAGATGACGATTGACATGTGGGAGGAGAGAATTCGAGTTTGGTACGCGGATCATCGAGGGATGAGTCGAGATGAGGCCGAAATGGAGTATTTAAAGATCGCGCAAGACTTAGAGATGTACGGGGTTAATTATTTTTCAATTACGAATAAAAAAGAGACCGAATTATGGCTTGGTGTGACAGCGTTGGGGTTAAATATTTACGAGAAGGAGAATAAATTGCAGCCGAAAACGACGTTTACTTGGTCGGAAATACGACATATTAGTTTCGACGATAAAAAATTTATTATTAAACCCGTCGATAAGAGTTCGCCAAATTTCGTGTTTTTTAGTCAAAAAGTTCGTATGAATAAATTGGTAAGTTAACTTTTTATGTGTATCTTTTTTAAAATTAATTTTTAATTAAGATTTTAGATTTATGCATCGGAAACCACGATTTATTTATGAGACGTCGAAAACCCGACTCGATGGAACTCCAACAAATGAAAGCGGCCGCAAAAGAAGAAAAACAACGCCGCCAAGTCCAACGAAATCGCCTGGCGAAAGAAAAACAACTCCGCGAAGAAGCCGAACGCGAAAAAGCAAACATGGAACAACGATTATTACAATACCAAGAAGACATCCGATTGGCGAACGAAGCTTTACGCCGATCGGAAGAAAGCGCCGATCTTTTAGCGGAAAAAAGTCGCGTCGCCGAAGAGGAAGCGTTACTTTTAAGCCAAAAGGCGACGAAAGCCGAACAAGAAATGACGAAAATGAGGTTGAACGTGATGCGGAGCGAAGAGGAGAGGGTTACTTTGGAGAGGAAAACGCGCGAGGCTGAGTTGTTAACGGCCAGATTGGTGGAGGAGTCGGAAAGGAGGGCTTTGGAGGCGAATAAGTTAAAAGATGAATTGTTGAAGGCGCGAACGGCGGAGAAATTGGCGAAAGAGAAGTTGTTGGATTTTTTGAATCGGGGGAGATACGGTGGGTCGGTTGCGTCGAGTCCTTTGTCGGTGAGTTAAATCAAAAATTAATTGATTTAAATAATTAATTTGAATGAAGAAGTAAAGAAATCACAATTAATTAACAAGTCATGTTTGGACTCATTTTAAAGGTTATTTTATAAAGATTACAGATATAATTTTAGGTTAGAAATGTCAACCTCAATTTTGACATATTTGTAATCGTCGTGAAAAATCCTTTAAAATGAGCCCAAACATGATGTGTTTATTTCCAATATTACTCGAGATATAAGCAACTTCCGGTTTGAAATATTCAACCTCAATTTTGACATATTTGTAATCATCATTAAAAATCCTTTAAAATGAGTACAAACACGACATATTTATCTTCAATAATAATGAAGTTATGGTCAACTTCCGGTTAGACATGTCAACCTCAATTTTGACATATTTGTAATCTTCATTAAAAATCCTTTAAAATGAGCCCAAACATGATACGTTAAATTCCAATATTACTCGAGATATAAGCAACTTCCGGTTTGAAATGTCAATGTCATTTTGATATATTCTTAATTTTTATAAAATGTCTTAAAATTTGTCACAAAAACAAAAATATAATTAAAAAATCAAAAATTGAGGTTGGTATTAATATTTAAAAATTAAATTGCTATCTTCATTGTTGCTAACTTCAGGTTTAGTGTTTTTTATACTAATTTTTTTGTTTTTTGAGATAAATGCGTCATGTTTGGACACATTTTAAAGGTTATTTTATAAAGATTACGAATATAATAATAAAATTAAAGTTGACATTAACATCTTCAATATGTATGAAGTTATGGTGAACTTCCGGTTAGAAATGTCAACCTCAATTTTGACATATTTGTAATCGTCGTGAAAAATCCTTTAAAATGAGCCCAAACATGATGTGTTTAATTCCAATATTAAGCGAGATATAAACAACTTCCGGTTTGAAATGTCAATGTCATTTTGATATATTTTTGGTTTTTATAAAATGTCTTAAAATTCGTCACAAAAACAAAAATATAATTAAAGAAATCAAAAATTGAGGTTGGTATTAATATTTAAAAATTAAATTGCTATCTTCATTGTTGCTAACTTCAGGTTTAGCGTTTTTTATTCTAATTTTTTTGTTTTTTGAGATAAGTGCGTCATGTTTGGACTTATTTTAAAGGTTATTTTAGCAAGATTACAAATATAATAATAAAATTAAAGTTGGCGTTAGCATCTTCAATATTAATGAAGTTATGGTCAACTTCCGGTTAGAAATGTCAACCTCAATTTTGACATGTTTGTAATCGTCGTGAAAAATCCTTTAAAATGAGCCCAAACATGATGTATTTAATTCCAATATTACTCGAGATATAAGCAACTTCCGGTTTGAAATGTCAATGTCATTTTGATATATTCTTAATTTTTATAAAATGTCTTAAAATTTGTCATAAAAACAAAAATATAATTAAAAAAATTAAAAGTTGAGGTTGGTATTAATGTTTAAAAATTAAATTGCTATCTTCATTGTTGCTAACTTCCGGTTTAACGTTTTTTATTCTAATTTTTTTGTTTTTTGAGATAAATACGTCATGTTTGGACTCATTTTAAAGGTTATTTTATAAAGATTACGAATATAATAATAAAATTAAAGTTGATATTACCATCTTCAATTATTAATGAAGTTATAATCAACTTCATGTTAGAAATGTCAACCTCAATTTTGACATATTTGTAATCGTCGTGAAAAATCCTTTAAAATGAACCCAAACATGATGTGTTTATTTCCAATATTACTCGAGATATAAGCAACTTCCGGTTTGAAATGTCAATGTCATTTTGATATATTCTTGATTTTTATAAAATGTCTTAAAATTTGTCACAAAAACAAAAATATAATTAAAAAAATCAAAAATTGAGGTTGGTATTACATTTAAAAATTAAATTGTTGCTAACTTCCGGTTTAATGTTTTTTATTCTAACTTTTCTGTTTTTTGAGATAAATGCGTCATGTTTGGACTCATTTTAAAGGTTATTTTATGAAGATTACGAATATAATAATAAAATTAAAGTTGACATTAACATCTTCAATTATTAATGAAGTTATATTCAACTTCCGGTTAGAAATGTCAACCTCAATTTTGACATATTTGTAATCTTCATTAAAAATCCTTTAAAATGAGCCCAAACATGATACGTTTATTTCCAATATTACTCGAGATATAAGCAACTTCCGGTTTGAAATGTCAATGTCATTTTGATACATTCTTAATTTTTATAAAATGTTTTAAAATTTGTCATAAAAACAAAAATATAATTAAAAAAATTAAAAATTGAGGTTGGTATTAATGTTTAAAAATTAAATTGCTGTCTTCATTGTTGCTAACTTCCGGTTTAATGTTTTTTATTCTAATTTTTTTGTTTTTTGAGATAAATGCGTCATGTTTGGACTCATTTTAAAGGTTATTTTATAAAGATTACGGATATAATAATAAAATTAAAGTTGACATTAACATCTTCAATTATTAATGAAGTTATAGTCAACCTCCGATTAGAAATGTCAACCTCAATTTTGACATATTTGTAATCGTCGTCAAAAATCTTTTAATATTAAAGTTCTTTGTGTGAAGATGAAGAAATTTTGAAATTATTACTAATTATTATTCATTCTATTTATGCTGATTTAATTAATTCATATTTTCAGTATGTTTTTTGCTTACAATTTCAACCTGATGATGTCTTTTATATCTCTCAATGTTGTTATTATCTTCCATTGACTTCAACATAAATTCTAATTTCGTTCTTAATATTGTTTCTAATTATCTATTAGTATTAAAATCGTCAATTTTTGATGCATTTGACGTCCCTAAACAATATCTTTGCATTCTTCAGCATTAATATTGTCTTTGATATTCATCAATATTGTACCTAAGGCGATGTATTTAATTTCTCCCTCCATACAAGAAGTATGTTTAAGTGCAGTTTTGTTGTAGCAATATGATACAAATTATTTTTGTAACAAATGTTTCTGTTTAATGTTAATACATTATACATCTACTTTGGGAGGTGTAATCATCTAGATAACCTAAGACTGGACATATATCTATGGGTAATTTATGGGTAATTGTAAGATGAAAAATTGCTTTAAAGTTACATGATTTTCCATTTATTTAAGATAGAAAAATAACAGCTATGCGTAACCATGGCAACCATTTAGTTTAGATATTTTATTAAAATAATGATTAATTTTTGATATCTGAAACAATTGGTTGCCATGGTTACTGCAATTTTTCTATCTCAAATGAATGGAAAATCATGAAACTTTAAGATAATTTATCTGGAAACTTTTCTTATGGAACCAATATTAATATCAGTTGGCTATGACCTAAAATAATTTGTTATTTTCTTCTGATAACAAATATACAGTGTGTCCCCGGATAGGTGAAACGACTCTTATAAAAGGTAAAAATTTTTCGATATTGATTGTTATTTTTTGGGGTTTAGCCCTGCTTGGTTAAAGACTAATTATGAACATATTTTTAATTTTTAAAAAACAAGTGAGACTTGACAGTGAAAGAAAAACTTCTTTTGTGGTAGGTAAAGTACCTTTTCTGTTTACAGTACGTGAAAGTGTTACTAAGAAGTTTTGTTCAGAATGAAAAACTATGGCCATATACAAATTTTCGGAATGATCGGCCTACTTTGATAAAACTCATTGTTTATTATTTGCGTCAATAGTACTTTATTACGATTTTTTGTTTTGAGATTCAAATTGTTCGGGAGAAATAAACAAAACGTTATTAAAATGTTCAAAACAAATTAAGTGTTTATTCGCATACAAAAAAAACTACTTCAAATACTACTTTTTAGTACTCTCTCGGACTCGTCGAACGTCTGCTCATCAACTCCGCTTTTTATATGAAAAATACAACAGAAAAGGAAAGGAAAACATAATAAAAAAATCACACTTATTTATTACAAATGAAGTGATCGAACTGCCTGTGTTATTCTATTTTTTAGTATTTCGATATCATTCGGAATGTGTTCTTGGTAAACTATTTGTTTTACTCTTCCCCAAACAAAAAAATCCATTATTGTGAGATCTGGAGATCTGGCCGGCCAAGATATCTTGCTCATTCTCCCAAACCATCTTTCGCCAAATTGATTATTTAGCCAATTACTAATCATTTTTGTTGAATGGGCAGGGCAGCCATCATGTTGAAAGAAATGAGCCTGTCGAACATCTAATGGAAGTTCGTCAACAAACCTTGTCAGAATTTGTAAATAAGTTTGTTGGTTTAATGTTCCTTCAATAAAGAACGGTCCAATTATTCCTAGTTTGTATGACACGGCACACCACACATTAACTTTTTTAAAATACTGCCTGTTTGCATTAATTACATAATGGGGATTGTCTCTGCTCCAATACCGACAGTTTTGGGAAGATGGAATACCATTTGTGGTAAAAGTACATTCATCAGAAAAAATTATTAGTTTATGAAAACGTCTGTTTTCTAAAATTAATTCCCCCAAAGATAAACAGAAATGCAATCGCTTTGCGTCGTCACCTTCCTCCAAAGTGTGGCAAAATTTGGCTTTGTACGGATAAATTCTGTTTGCTTTATAAATTCTTTGTAAATGTGTTTTGCTTATGTTTGTATTTATGCTTCGATTTCTTAGAGACATGGTAGGAAATGCATCCGTTGAATGTAAAGCAACTAAAGTACCTGTATCAGATTCATCATATTTTTTTTTCTTTTTTCTTATAGTGAACACTTCCTGTTGTAACAAATCTTTTGATTAAACGCCAACAAGTACTTTTGTTAATTCCAGTATTTGGAAATTTTTCATTAAATAGAGTAATAACCATATTCATCGATTTTTCCCCGGTTCCATAACACTGAATCACATAAACTTTTTGGTCTAATGTTAACATTGTATTCAAAACACACATTAAGTATACTAAATTATACTTTGACAGATTAACATAAACACGAAAGCAGTTTTGTTTTTCCATGGCAGTCTTTGTTAGAAATAAAATTGTTTGATATGGATTTTTATCAAAGTAGGCCGATCATTCCGAAAATTTGTATATGCCCACAGTTTTTCATTCTAAACAAAACTTCTTAGTAACACTTTCACGTACTGTAAACAGAAAAGGTACTTTACCTACCACAAAAAAAGTTTTTCTTTCACTGTCAAGGCTCACTTGTTTTTTCAAAATTAAAAATATGTTAAAAATTAGTCTTTAATCAAGCAGGGCTAAACCCCAAAAAATGACAATCAACATCGAAAAATTTTTACCTTTTATAAGAGTCGTTTCACCTATCCGGGGACACACTGTATATAGGTTGTTTTGTGTATTTCTTATAGTTATTGAATAATTAATAAAAATTGTTTTTGTTCTATCTAACACTAATGTATATATTTAAAAGTTAATGTTGCTATGGTGATAATATACGTTGAAACGTCAATTTTGACAGTTACTTCATGTTGAAATGTCAAATTTACTATCTAAATGACGCAAACGAGAAGATTGATATCAAATTCGATTGGCAGATTACATTAAAATGTCAAAATTAACAAAATTAGCGTTGTTTGACAAATAAATGTTATAATTTATTGGTGAAATGTCACTTTTGACAGTTAATTTAAATTGAGACGTAATATTTAGTGATTGATATAGATTAAAACATCAAAATTGACAAAATGAACGTTATTTGGCAAATAAAGGTTAAAAATTAATGTTTAAACGTCACTTTTGACAGTTAATTTAAATTAAAACGTCACGTTTAATGATTGGTATAGATTAAAACGTTAAAATTGACAAAATGAACGTTATTTGGCAAATAAAAGTTAAAAATTAATGTTGAAACATCACTTTTGACAGTTAATTTAAATTAAAACGTCACGTTTAATGATTGGTATAGATTAAAACGTCAAAATTGACGAAATAAACGTTATTTGGCAAATAAACGTTAAAAATTAATATTGAAATGTCACTTTTGACAGTTAATTTAAATTGAAACGTCACTTTTAATGATTGGTTTAGATTAAAACGTCAAGTTGTGTGGTTTAATAACATTGAAACGTCAAAATTGAATAAATAAACGTTATTTGGCAAATAAACGTTAAAAATTAATGTTGAAATGTCACTTTTGACAGTTAATTTAAATTGAAACGTCATATTTAATGATTGGTATAGATTAAAACGTCAAAATTGACGAAATAAACGTTATTTAGCAAATAAACGTTAAAAATTAATGTTCAAATGTCACTTTTGACAGTTAATTTAAATTAGAACGTCATATTTAATGATTGGTTTCGATTAAAACGTCAAGTTGTGTCATTTAATCACATTGAAACGTCAAAATTGACGAAATAAACATTATTTTGTAAATAAACGTTAAAAATTAATGTTGAAATGTCACTTTTGACAGTTAATTTAAATTGAAATATCACATTTAATGATTGGTTTGGATTAAAACGTCATGTTGTGTCATTTAATCACATTGAAACGTCAAAATTGAACAAATAAACGTTATTTATCAAATAAACGTTAAAAATTAATGTTGAAACGTCACTTCTGACAGTTAATTTGAATTGAAACGTCACATTTGACGGGTTAGTCTCGAAATAATTGCCGAAGTTTGTATTTAAGAATTCAATAACAATTCTGGCATTATGTACTGATGCTCCGTCATATTGAGAATATATCATTTGAGACATATTTAATGGCAAACTGTCGACTAAAAGCCCAATAAGACAAAACTTTCTTTATCACTTTGAAATATGAAAGGTACTACTTCAGCAGCACAGTTGTCTCGGCTTCTTAAAATATGTTGGTATGGACGACAAACTTTTTTTTATCACTTTGTAATACCAGAGCTACTGCCTCGGTTTTTTAAAATATAGTACTATAGAAGACAAATCTTTTCTTATCACTTTGTAATATCAGATCTACTGCCTCAGCAGTACAGCTGCCTAGATTTTTTAAGATATAGTACTATAGAAGACAAATCTTTTCTTATCACTTTGTAATACTAGAGCTACTGCCTCGGCAGCAGAGCTGTCTCGGTTTTTAAAGCATAGTAATATAGAAGACAAATCTTTTCCTATTACTTTGTAATAACGCAGCTACTGCCTCGGCAGCGCAGCTGCCTCGGTTATTTGAAGATATGGTAATATAGAAGACAAAGCTTTTTTTATCACTTTATAATATCTAAGCTACTGCCTCGGCAGCACAGCTGCCTCGGTTTTTTAAAATATAATAATATAGAATACAAACCTTTTCTCTTATCACTTTGGAATACCAGAGCTAATGCCTCGGCAGCAGAGCTGCCTCGGTTATTTAAAACATAGTAATATAGAAGACAAACCTTTTCCTATTACTTTGTAATAACACAGCTACTGCCTCGGCAGCACAGCTGCCTCGGTTTTTTGAAGATATAGATAGTAATATAGAATACAAAGCTTTTTTTATCACTTTGTAATATGTAAGCTACTGCCTCGGCAGCACAGCTGCCTCGGTTTTTTGAAGCATAGTAATATAGAAGACAAATTTTTTCCTATTACTTTGTAATAACGCAGCTACTGCCTCGGCAGCACAGCTGCCTCGGTTTTTTAAGATATAGTAATAGAAGCCAACGTTTTTTTTATCACTTTGTAATATCTAAGCTACTGCCTCGGCAGCAGAGCTGCCTCGGTTTTTTAAAGCATAGTAATATAGAAGACAAACCTTTTCTTATTACTTTGTAATAACACAGCTACTGCCTTGGCAGCGCAGCTGCCTCGGTTTTTTAAGATATAGTAGTATAGAACACAAACCTTTTCTTATCACTTTGTAATACCAGAGCTACTGCCTCAGCAGCAGAGCTGCCTCGGTTTTTTAAAGCATGGTAATATAGAAGACAAATTTTTTCCGATTACTTTGTAATAACGCAGCTACTGCCTCGGCAGCAAAGCTGCCTCGGTTTTTTAAGATATAGTAATATAGAAGACAAACCTTTTCCTATTACTTTGTAATAAAACACAGCTACTGCCTCGGCAGCAGAGCTGCCTCGGCTTGTAATAATATAACATAAAAAAAATCTTTTTCAATAATTTCTTTTCTATTTCAGTCTGTAACAAATTTATATTCAAATCAATTAACCGCATCGTATCAATCGGATTTACAAGCCATCGAATGTTGCGATCCAATGGGTGATATAACGATAGCCGCTTACGACTTAGTATTGGGTTGCGGGGGCACAGAGCAAGACCCGCTCTCGTTAGAAATGGAAAAAGAACGAGTCGAGTACCTCCAAAAATCAAAACATCTCCAAAACCAGCTGGTCCAATTGCGATCGGAAATCGAAGTGCTAAAAGTCGGCGAAAAACAATCCGAATTGGACCACATCCACGACGAACAAATCAAAATGGGCGAGAACAAGTATTCGACGTTGAAAAAAAGCAAGTCAGGATCGACGAAATCAAGAGTTGCCTTTTTTGAGGACCTCTAATAATTTTCGGTTCATATTTGTTATGAACGAATTAATTTAATAATAATAAGAAAGAAAGTTTTTATTATCTAAGTGCCTCTTTTATTGAAATAGTTAAAAATTATTAATCTATATTTGTATATTTTGTCTTTTTTGTTCATTTTAAGAGAAAAACTATGAATAAACGAGTTTAATTTCGTATTAAATTATTTTATTTTGAAATTACCGCCAAAACCAAACATTTTTTTACTACCAACTTAACTTTAAATTGAAGTTATAAAAATTACAATAAATTATTACTAAATTATTAGAAGATAGAATTAATTTATAAGATAATATAATAATTGAGTTATTAATTAATTATTTTTATTTAATTTATTAATTTTAACCTAAAAATAATAAAAATCGAAAAATGGTTGGTTTGAAGTGTTACCAACCGAAATTGAAGTAACTAAATTGTGAATTGTTAAAATAAAATGATTTTTAATTAAATGTTGTTGTTAAAATAGGTTAGATTTAGTGTTTAATTGAATAAATTGAAGTGAAATTGTAAAATTGTGATGTAAAAGATGTAAATTGATGTGTAGTTTGGAGATGTAATTTGGGGCGCATGCGCATTGGGCGCGGTCATTCTCGTTTCGCATCCCCACCATCAGTCTGTTCGGCGAGGCCCGCGTTTCCCGTATCACAGTGCCGACCGGAGAACAGGACAAAACGCAATGTACCTCCGCCATTGTGGCCGCACGCAACGTCGCCGACGGCTCTCCAACTACATACGATTTTATCGGTACAAGCGGCCCCGCTAAATGCAGCAAGACGCCGGCGAATTGTCGCAGAAACTGTTGCGATCGCTCGACGATGTCTATAACGTAAGTACGAGACGCGATTTTGACGGAAATTAGAAATTTTCGATTCGGTGTCGGTTCGCAACCACCAAACACGAGCGAGTTCGCGCAGGCGACATTTCTGTCTGTCGTAGGAGAGGTTTTACGCGGTTATTTTTTTAACGAAATTGTGTGTTTTGTGGCGATTTTTAACGATTTTTCGTAGACATTTTACACGAAATTCATTATTTTTATGAAAAACCACACGAAATATGGATATTTTTATATTTCTTGTGGTCGAATTTATATCGAATATTAAAACAAATTAATTCATATAATATCATTTTTTCGTTATAAATTTATTATTTTTCATTTTTAGGTTATTGATATGCCTGCCGTCCTGGAAGTTATCTCTGTATTGGAAAAAATCTCGATATCCAAGGAAATATTGCAGGTAATTCTCCAAAAAATATCCTTTTTTTAATTATTATAAATAAACAATTTCTATTTCTCGTAATCGAATTAATAATTTCGATTTATTAAAAAATTAGGTTATGTTTTTTTTTTTTATGAAATTGATTTTAGTTGGTAATACTTAAAATCTTCCATATTGTATTATTTTTGACATTTTTAGGTTAAATTATATTACACGTAAAAATGGGGTCATACACACTTATTAAATTTAGAGAAAATTTTTATGTCAAACGATATATGCAAGTATATGCATGAACACAAAGGAAAAGAAATATTTTAATCAATTTTATATTTTGCGTAATTTGAAGTGAAAAAAAGCAAATATTCAAACGAAATAATTTCGCGGCTTTTCTGTGACGTAGGAACCGCACTGCCTAAAACAAGTTAAATTGTCCGTTAGATAGCGCTTGCGGTGTGACAGTGTCAAAATAAAACCATGGATGTAATAGAGTGTCTCTATTATATCCATGAACAAAACATAATAAACATAACCTACAAACACTCTATCTCTTTTCAATACAACCTAAATGACGTTCATCTCTTTCTCGCATTTGAGCGGGGAGCAGGGGACGCAAAAGTGAGAATCGTACGTCATCAACGCGGGAATTTTAAAAGCGCAAATGGGTATATAAATTTTCAATAATTTTTTTAACAATGACTTTGTTCGAAAATAAAAAAAAAAAAAATAACGGTAACTATATTTTTATATAAACTTTCAGAAAATATAATAAAAAAAAAATCGTGTATGACCCCATTATTATTAACAAAATCGATTGATTTATTGCATAAAACGAATTAAGAATCGAAAAATGTTTCAATTTGCCATAAAAACTGTTTTTAAGCTGATAAGTAACTCGTTAAATTACTCAAACAATGGGAAAATAAAAAATTATAACCTCAAAAAAATTTTTTGAGAAGACGCGTCGATTTTTCCAGGTACGAACGAATATATTCCTTTCTTCTTTTGAATATGATTTGTAGAAGATTTTTTTATATGAAGACTGATAGATATATTAGCTGAGGCTATATAATTTAGTCTCTTTATGTTCATACAAATATCTGTTGCATGCTGAGGCAACAAAATTGTATCTTTATTGAGACATTACCTTTTTACAACAGAGGCATACCACCATAGCAATGAAGATCTATCTTTGAAAAGAGTTACATTTAAGATGGTATAAGTGTTTCATGCTATTTTCTGATACTTCCTGGTAGACTCTGTCTTTAATGTAACCCCAAAGAAAAAAATACATACAACAGTACCAAACCTTGCAGGAGTACAAAAAAGCCACTTAAAACTGATAATCAATAGATGGGAAATCTCAAAGAGCTCGCCTTCTGTTGGAAAAAACTTCCAGGTGACAGACAGGCGAAAAATGTGATTGCAAAAAAGAACTAAAGAGGTTTTATGCCCCAGCAAAGTTGACTTAAGATTGCTCTCAGGCTTCCTGATCAGCAATACGTCACTAAAACATCATCTCTTTCATATTAGACAAGCTGAGGATCAAACTTGTCATCAAACTTCCATACAACTTTATTCCATAATTTTGCCTCAGATTGTATACATTCTGAAAATATTAAATCTTCAAAGTAGGCGGCGAAATGACGCCGTTGACAGCATTAAATGTCAAAAAATTGACAGCTTCAACAATTATGAATAATTAATAATGTATGGGTATGGTGACACATATTTAATGTGATATATATTTGTTTAAACTGTCAATTTTTTGACATTTAAAGCTGTCAGCGACGTTGTAAAAACATTTATTATTCTGCCTCAGCTTGCATTGATATATTAATACTATAGAAAAACTTTTTATTAGTGTTTTGTAATAAAAAAAACTACTGGCTTGGTTTATAATATAATAATATATTTAAAAAAAAAAAAACATTTTATATTGCTTTGTAGGGAAATAACCACTGCAGCTGTGCTGCCTCGGCTTGCATTGATAGATTAATACTGTCTGTAGAGAATTACAATATTTCAAAAAAAAAAACGATACCAATAACTAATATAAATCCTACCCTTTTCTCCAGCCTCTCCTTGCTGTCACCACCTCTTCCATCCATCTCCTCCTCTCTCAACTCATTACAGCCCACTCATCATCCCACCTAATTCGTATTGTTACGTAATTAAAAAGCTACTGCCTCGGAAACTCCGAAATTTTATTATTAATTTTATTATTATATTCGTAATCTTTATAAAATAACCTTTAAAATGAGTCCAAACATGATGGATTTATCTCAAAAAACAAAAAAGTTAGAATAAAAAAAAAACATTAAATCCGAAGTTAGCAACTTAATTTTTAAATATTAATACCAACCTTAATTTCTGACAAATTTTAATACATTTTGTAAAAATTAAGAATATATCGAAAACGTTTGGGCTTATTTTAAACGATTTTTTACGAAGATTACAAATATGTCAAAATTAAGAATGACATTTCTAACCGGAAGTTAATTATCATGTAATAAACAACTTCATGGTATTCTTTATTAAAAGACCTTTAAAATGAGGCCAAACATGATACATTTATCTCAAAAGACAAAAAAGTTAGAATAAAAAACGTTTAACCTGAAGTTGGCAACAATGAAGATGGCACTTTATTTTTAAATTTAATACCAACCTTAATTTCTGATTTTTTTTATTATATTTTTGTTTTTGTGACAAATTTTAAGACATTTTGTAAAAATTAAAAATATGTCAAAATGACATTGACATTTCAAACCGGAAATTGCTTATATCTCGAGTAATTTTGGAATTAAACGTATTATGTTTGGGCTCATTTTAAAGGATTTTTCACGACGATTACAAATATGTCAAAATTGAGGTTGACATTTTTAACCGGAAGTTGACCATAACTTCATTAATATCAAAGATGTTAATGTCAACTTTAATTTTATTATTATATCTGTAATCTTTATAAAATAACCTTTAAAATGAGTCCAAACATGACGCATTTATCTAAAAAAACAGAAAAGTTAGAATAAAAACATTAAACCGGAAGTTAGCAACAATTTAATTTATAAATATTAATACCAACCTTAATTTCTGATTTTTTTTATTATATTTTTGTTTTTGTGACGAATTTTAAGACATTTTATAAAAATTAAGGATATATCAAAATGACATTGACATTTCAAACCGGAAGTTGCTTATATCTCGAGTAATATTGGAATTAAACGGATCATGTTTGGGATCATTTTAAAGGATTTTTCACGACGATTACAAATATGTCAAAATTGAGGTTGACATTTCTAACCGGAAGATGACCATAACTTCATTAATATTGAAAAAGTTAATGTCAACTTTAATTTTATTATTATATTTGTAATCTTTATAAAATAACCTTTAAAATGAGTCCAAACATGACGCATTTATCTCAAAAAACAAAAAAGTTAGAATAAAAACATTAAACCGGAAGTTAGCAACAAATTAATTTTTAAATATTAATACCAACCTTAATTTCTGATTTTTTTTATTATTTTTTGATTTTGTGACAAATTTTAAGACATTTTATAAAAATAAGGAATTTTTCAAAATGACATTGACATTTCAAACCGGAAGTTGCTTATATCTCGAGTAATATTGGAATTAAACGTATCATGTTTGGGCTCATTTTAAAGGATTTTTCACGACGATTACAAATATGTCAAAATTGAGGTTGACATTTCTAACCGGAAGTTGACCACAACTTTATTAATTTTAAAGATAAATATGTCGTGTTTGTACTCATTTTAAAGGATTTTTAATAAAGATTACAAATATGTCAAAATTGAGTTTGACATTCTAAACCTGAAGTTAGTTATCATATAACAAGTAAATGGACAACTTCATGGTATTCTTTATTAAAAGACCTTTAAAATGAGTCCAAACATGATGCGTTTATCTTAAAAAACAAAAAATTTAGAATAAAAAACATTAAATCCGAAGTTAGCAACAATTTAATTTTTAAATATTAATACCAACCTTAATTTCTGATTTTTTTTTTATTATATTTTTGTTTTTTTGACAGATTTTAAGACATTTTGTAAAAATTAAGAATATATCAAAATGACATTGACATTTCAAACCGGAAGTTGCTTATATCTCGAGTAATATTGGAATTAAACGTATCATGTTTGGGCTCATTTTAAAGGATTTTTCATAGCTATTACAAATATGTCAAAATTGAGGTTGACGTTTCTAACCGGAAGTTGACCGTAACTTCATTAATATTGAAGGTAAATATGTCGTGTTTGTATTCATTTTAAAGGATTTTTTAATGAAGATTACAAATATGTCAAAATTGAGGTTGACATTTTAAACCCGAAGTTAATTATCATATAATAGATAAATGGACAACTTCATGGTGTTCGTTCATGATGTATTCTTTATTAAAAAACCTTTAAAATGTGTCCAAACATAATGCATTTATCTCAAAAAATAAACAAGTTTGAAGAATGTTGTTGAATAATTTAATAAAAAATATATCATAACACCATGAAGTTATCTATTTGTTTATTACATGATAACTAACTTCAGGTGTAAAACCTCAATTTTGACATATTTGTAATCTTTATTAAAAATCCTTTTCCGTCGACCATTTTAATATAAAAATCAGAACATTTAAACTCACTTTTAATGTGTCAAAAGTCAAAACTTATTGTTGTAGTCTTACCGAATAGATATAATGGTCGGTATTACAGATTTCATTCGAAAATATTTACTAAATTGACTACTATATTAGTTCGGTCGGACTTTCTTAAAATTTGACAGTTTTATACATTGGGTGATTTTTCAACGATGGATTTTCTCTATTTCGTTGAAAAGACAGTCAACGGAAAAATATTGTCACTAACTCGTATATTAAAATGCGATTAATTATCGTAATAAGTAATTAATTAATTAATTTATCTTAATTGACATATTGTCGAGCATCAACCTAAGTATGTCGAAATCCCACCGTAAGATGGCATTAGCGTCTATACTGAAATTAAATAATTTAATTAAACTAACAATTTTATTATTAATAGTAGGAATGATAAGAAACAGCAATAAATTACTAAAAATTATTACCAGTATCATTCTTTTAATTTAAAAAAGTATAGATTCCAATTCGTTTTATATTTTTAAATTTGCCGCTAACTTCAACTTTTAAAAGTTGAAGTTTGTTCAGAATGACAGATGAAAACGTCATTTTAAAGTGTTTTTTCGGTAGGAGTTTAATAAAGTAATAATGGTATGATTAAATAATTAGATTATAATTGACATTATGGCTTTGTTTTAGCTAACGTTATAAGTTGTTGGAAGCTCGTCAGATGCAATCTCATATGTCATAGTGATATTCAAATGTGTGGCATGATTTGACAGGTGTAATTGCCATAAGTAATTGTATCTGAGGAATTCTCAACCAGTTGGAACGTTAATTGTAGTGGCTCCAAACAATTATTCTGTGGTTGGAGTTTTTAGATATAAATCCAATCCAACCTGTATTCTAGTGGTTCGGTTCTTAGCTGAATAATTCCAAAATATCCCAAACAGATGTCGCCACATTCAAAATGTGTCGAAGTGTCAACGTCATTAGAGCGAAATTTTTGTATTTTAATTAATTGAACAAATTTTTTAATTATTACAATGATTAATGTTGTTTTTTTCTTTGTTTAAAGTCTTCCCGGTTAGGTAAGTACGTGAACGAGGTTCGACGGAACACCACCGACGACCAATTGGCGAAAAGAACCCGAGATTTGGTAAAGAGATGGCGAAACGAATTCATCGCGGAATCAAATGGTCAACTGAAAGCGGCCTCAGAAACATCAACATCATCAACGCCTCAAAAACGCCCCCAAAATCTCCTCACAACATCATCATCATCATCCGCAAAAGACAACCAAGTTTTAAACGCCGCAAAAAGGCCCCGTTTAAACGGAAATAACGAACTCGACCTCTCAGACAATTCCAATTCGAGTTTTAAAGATGAAATAATTAGGAAAGATCTCCGTGATAATATTATTTTGGTAAATTCCGATTCGAATTCGAGCGTAACGGACGTTGTTAAGAAAGAACCTGTGATCGAGGAGCAATTACCGAAGAAAAGGGGGCGAAAAAAGGGTTCGAAGAACCATAAGAGTCTATTAGACGAAGCCGAAACAAGTTTTAGTAATAAAATGGCCGTTTCGAGAGGAAACGCAAAAGTTAAAACCACTCAAGAATTAGTAGCGAGTTTGCAAAATCGAAATAACGTGAGTTTAGTAACCGGTTTAAAATCGCCAACTTCCGGATCCGGAAGGTTTAAAGAGGATCTGAACGAAAAAGCTGCGAAATTAACCGAAAGAGTATCGATAATCGACCAAAAATTATACAACACAAACGCAAATAATTTTCGTAGAAAAAAGAAATCGTTCGAAACGATCAAAGAAGAAATCGAAATAAAAAAGGAAAACGACGAAGAGGTTATAATCGTAGATGAAGACGACGTGAAAGTAAAAATCAAATCAGAAGAAAACCAACAATCCGAATCGACCGATTTATTATTAACAAATTCAAACATCCCCCGAGCTTTATCAATAGAAGAAGCCTTAAACTCATTACCGCCTATAGATAAATCGTTTTTAGAATCAAAAAATTTAACTTCATCGCCTCATTGCACGTGCGTTTTCGACGAAGACACTTCCGCTTTTATCGAAGACGCTTCCTGTCCGTCGAAAATCGCCTTAAACGATAAATACGATTTGAATAATGTCTCGGATGAGAAGGTCGATCGGTTCTTGTCGTGTTCAGTGCCGAATTTGAACGGAAACGAAAGTCTGGGTCCCGGTTTGGGTCCGCCGGAAACGACGGACGATGGTTTTTATAAAAATGTGGTGCCTAATCGCGTTTTGGAACGGATGCCGAAAATACACAAATCGGACGACGATCTTAGTGACGATATAAAACGGTATCGGATTTCAGAAGATTGCGAGAAAGATTCGTTTCGCGAGTGGCACGAGGTTATTGAGGCGAGGTCTTATGACGGGGAAGTGATTCGAATTCTCCCTTACGTCGTTATCGATTAGCTGTTGATTGAGGTTAGGTTAATCTAGTCTGTTTTTTTTTTAATTTTATTTTTTTTTTTTAATTAACTCGTTTTCCGATGAAAAATGAGGAATTTCGGTCGGATTTGTTGTTATTGAATCGTTTCAATTATTAACTGTTTTTATTTAAGTTGGTACTATTTTTTATTTAATGAAGTTTTTCTTTTTTCTAAGTTGGTACTAAAAAATTTTTTTTTAAATTAATTATAAGTTGGTATTACTTCAAAGTGACGTTTAAGATGTTTACATTATAATTTATTGATTTTCAGCAAAATTTACGAAGATTTATAATTAGTTGGGGAGAAATTAAATTGTTTTTGTTGGAGAAATCAAGTTTTGGATTCCGTTTTGTACGATAAGGTAAATCAAACGAATAAGGCACAACGGTTTTTAATTAACCTCAAAAATCGCATTTTTTTCCTAGTTATTTTAGATTTCCTTTGAAATTAAAGAAATTAATGATCAATCTCAGAGTAATTAATGGAATTTGGAGTGATTAAAAGTTGTTGTGCCTAAATCAAAGCTAATATTTTTATTATTTATATACGGGTTGGTTCTACTATACAGGGTGGAACTCATTACAATTAGTTTTTAAACCAAAATCGAATTTTAAATTCCTCTTCTTGATTTGTCTCATAATTTGGACCTTTTTTGTTTGTGGAAAATCATCTTTTTGAGGTTAGGTAGCTATCTTCCTTGTTATATGAAATCAAACTCAATGAGGTTATCTCAAAAACCCCGATTTGAACCCAAATAGATATAGATAACCGCCATTTTGGAGATAAAATTAAGATTTAAATGATATTTTGTTGTAATAAATTAAAAATGATTTAATTTGAGCCCAAACTCGATGGGGTTATCTCAAAAAATGCGATTTCGACTTATATAGATATAGATAACCGCCATTTTGGAGATAAAGTTGAGATAACCTGGTCGTGTTGGTACTCATTTTAAATGATTTTTAATGAAACTTTATAAAAATGTCGAATCTAACCTAATTTGTTTGAAACTAAAAATTTTCTCGTTGATTTTGTCTTAGGTTATCTCAAAACTCGATCGAGGCAGTGTAGTTATGGTAATATATTAAGCCGAGGTCGCTTGCGGCCGAGGCAGTACAGTTAATAGCATCAAAATATAATGTTGTACAACATATATAGCGCCTCGGTCGCAAACAACCTCGGTTTAAAATGTTATTATAACATTTTTTGTTTAAATTGAGCCGAGGTCGCTTGCGGCCGAGGCATTAGGGTTGATGCAATCTACAAATAATGTTGTACAGTATACATAGTGTCTTGGATAATACACTACTATAACATCTTTTCTGACATAATTAAGCCGAGGTCGCTTGCGGCCGAGGCATTAGGATTGATGTCATCTACAAATAACATTGGTACAGAATATATAGCGCCTCGGCTAATACACTACTATAACATCTTTTCTGTCTTAATTAGGCCGAGGTCGCTTGCGGCCGAGGCATTAGGGTTGATATCATCTACAAATAATATTGTACAAAATACATAGCGCCTCGGCTAACACGCTACTATAACATCTTTTCTGTCTTAATTAAGCCGAGGTCGCTTGCGGCCGAGGCAGTGTAGTTGATAGCATCTAGATATAATGTTGTACAACATATGTAACGCCTTGGACGCAACAAACTTGGTTTAATATATTACTATAACATTTTTTTTGACTTACTTGAGCCGAGACATTGACGCCATTTATAAACAATATTGTACAACATACATAGTATCTCAAATAATACCCTACTATAACACCTTTTTTGTTTCAATTAAGCCGAGGTCGCTTGCGGCCGAGGCAGTGCTGTTGATAACATTTAGATATGTTGTACAACATACGTAGCACCTCAGCAACCTCAGCTTAATATGTTATTATAATATTTTTTCTGTTTAAATTAGGTCGAGGCATAAGGGTTGATGCCATCTACGAATAATATTGTACAGAATACATAACGCCTCGGTTAATACACTATTATAACATCTTTTCTGTTTTAATTAAGCCGAGGCATTAGGGTTGGTACTACCCAAAAATAATGTTATACAGCATATATAACGGCTCGCTCGCAAATAACTTCGGCTTAATTCATTACTATAACATCATTTTTGTCTTAGTTGAGCTGAGGTCGCTTACGGCCGAGGCATTAGGGTTTATAGCATATATATATAGTGCCACACCCGTAAGCGACCTTGGCGTTACATGTGCTGCGTGATATTATTTCTAGGTATCAACCCTAATGCCTCGGCCGCAAGCGATCTTGACTTAGTACATTATTAAAACATCTTTTCTGTGTTAATTGAACCGAGGTCGCTTACGGACGTTGATTTTTATGTTTTATAGAACATCTAAGTGGTATCAATTGCAATGCCTCTTCCGCAAACGATCTCGGCATCATACTTTTTCTGTCAGAGTTATACAGAGTGTCTATTATGTATAGAATATAGTATATATCTCAGTAAATATTGACTTTATAAAAAAACTTTTTATACAAAAGCTGTTTAATATTTTATTTGCCATAATAAAACAGCATTCAATTGTTTTTAATTCAAAAAACAAATGAGTAACGAATAACATTTGATTTTTTTTAATAGCAATGTACCCTTTCATTAGGCTCATTTAATAGAGATTTCTTTTCTCTTTACGATTACGTTAAATTTTTATATCCTTACATTAGAAAATTTTTGAAAAAAATATAAAAATTGTATATTTGTTATTCGTTGTTTATTTCTTTTTTGAAATAAAAACAATTGAATGCTGTCTTACTATGGCAAATAAAACATTGAACAACTTTTGTATAAAATGTTTTTTTTATAAAGTTGATACTTACCAAGATATAACTATATTCCATATAATATAATGGCCATCCTGTATATTTTGTCCAACATTGTGTTTATATTTTCTTAACTCTAATGCTTCGGCCGCAATAAGTGGATAGAATACTTCTTCTATCAAAGTTAAGTCAAAATCGCTTGAATTTCCAGCATTATATGTGGTCCAATATTATATTTATATTTTTTCAACTCTTAATATAATATTTCTTCTATCAAAATTAATTCAAAACCGTTTGAATTCCCATCGTTATAATATATGTTGTCCAATATTGTGTTTATATTTTCTCAACTCTGCTGCCTCGGCCGCAAGCGACCTCGGCTTAATGAGTAGACATGATCCTTCTTCTATCAGAATTAAGTCATAATCGATTAAATTCCCAGCATTATAATATATGTTGTCTAATATTGTTTATATTTTCTCATCTCTGCTGCCTCGGCCGCAAGCGACTTCGGCTTAATAAGTAAACATCATACTTTTTCTGTTAAAGTTAAGTCAAATCGATTAAATTCTCAGCGTTATAATATATATTGTCCAATATTGTTTATATTTTCTCAACTCTACTGCCTCGGCCGCAAGCGACCTCGGCTTAATAACTGGACATGATACTTCTTCTATCAGAGATAAATCAAAATCGTTTGAATTCTTAGCGTTATAATATATGTTATCCAATATTGTTTATATTTTCTCAACTTTACTGCCTCGGCCGCAAGCGACCTCGGCTTAATGAGTAGACATGATACTTCTTCTATCAGAATTAAGTCAAAATCGCTTAAATTCCCAGCGTTATAATATATGTTATCCAATATTGTTTATATTTTCTCAACTTTACTGCCTCGGCCGCAAGCGACCTCGGCTTAATGAGTAAACATGATACTTCTTCTACCAGAATTAAGTCAAAATCGCTGAAATACCCAGCGTTATAATATATGTTATCCAATATTGTTTATATTTTTTCAACTCTTCTGCCTCGGCCGCAAGCGACCTCGGCTTAATAAGTAAACATCATACTTTTTCTGCCAAAGTTAAGTCAAATCGATTAAATTCCCAGCGTTATAATATATGTTGTCCAATATTATTTATATTTTCTCAACTCTACTGCCTCGGCCGCAAGCGACCTCGGCTTAATGAGTAAACATGATACTTCTTCTATCAGAATTAAGTCAAAATCGCTTAAATTCCTTGCGTTATAATATATGTTGTCCAATATTGTTTATATTTTCTCAACTCTTCTGCCTCGGCCGCAAGCGACCTCGGCTTATTAATGTTTATATCACACTTTTTCGTCTAAATAAAAGCTTCGAAATTAGTGTCACCCTGTATAGTACGAACTAAAAAAAATAGGTGCTTAAATGAATTAAAATGGCGTAAAAATCGCCTGATGATGTTTAAAATTGTCCGAAAATTTCGTTTTAACTAAAAAGTACCAAAAATCAAAAAAGAAAAATTTCATTGATTAATTTTTACAATTAAAAAAAATATTACCACTTATTACCAATTACCTACCGACTACTATTATTATTTTTTATTATAACTCTTAATATTTATTGATCTGCTCTAACAAAAAAAAGAAAAAAAAACAAACAAAACAATTTTATTTGTAAATCATATTCTTGAGAGCAGTTTTTTTTTTCTAATGTACCTATTACTATTTGTTTTGTTATTGAAGTCAATGGCGAGTTCTTGTTATAAAAAAACTGGGTAAATCAAAATTTATAAAAACGATGTTCTTAGTCGCGTAATTAATTATTATTATTATTATTAAAATGAAAGCGAGCGAGTCCCCCCCTTCCCTTCGAGTGTTGTATATATTTGTATAAAAAAGAAATTTAAATTAAAAAAATAATAATAAACAGCCCCCTCTCACGGTTTTCGAGGGAAACCAAAAAACCAAAAAGTTTTCGAAACGAAATAAAACGATGAAGGAAAGTAAATTATGATGATGTGAGATATTTGTAAAGAAAATCTTCTAGCTATTGCTATATAAATATATATATATTTAAATATATATTCGTAATGTCTCCCAAAAAACAAAAAAAAATGATGAAAAGATACGGATATATTACATTGCCTTGTTCATATGTGAAAAATGAATATAAAGATATTTTCTAAAAAAAAAAAATGTTATTTATTTATAATTACTTCATCGAGCTATCACTAGAAATAACACTATTAACCACCAAAATAACTCGAAAACGAAAAACGCTAGGTACCAATAACTTTATCAAAGCGAACCTATTTTTTACGTACAATTAAACGGTGTAATAAAAACTATAGCATTCCATTTAAAATAGCGAAGTTATGGTCTACTTCCGGTAGACAGGAAGTGGCGGCCATCTTGAACAATCATCGTAAAACCCGTCAAAATTGCTTTCCTTTGATATCAAACACGATATATTTGGGTTAAAACATAAAAAAGTTAGGTTATAAACTGTCAAATGTCAAAATTAAATATATAACGAGAAAAAATTTTAAAAATGGACAGAAAATTAAAAATGCTTTAAAATGAACCCAAACTCGACTTATTTATCTCTAACCGTTATCGAGATATATTAATTTTTACCAAAAAAAAAATGGCGGTTATTTGACAGTTTCTAACCTAACTTTTTTATTTTTTAACTCAAATATATCGTGTTTGGTATCAAACCAAAGCGTTTTTGATTCCTATTAAGATCATTTTAATATTTATGAAAAAACGTTATATTTAATTTTGACATTTGACAGTTTATAACCTAACTTTCTTATTTTTTAACCCAAATATATCGTGTTTGGTATCAAATCAAAGTATTTTTGATTCTTATTAAAATCATATCAACAATTATTAAAATTTGTTATATTTAATTTTGACATTTGACAGTTTCTAACCAAATTTTCTTATTTTTTACCCTAAATACATCATGTTTGGTATCAAATCAAAGCATTTTTGATTCTTATTAAAATCATATCAACATTTATCAAAATTTGTTATATTTAATTTTGACATTTGACAGTTTATACCCTAACTTTTTTATGTTTGAACTCAAATATATCATGTTTGGTATCAAATTAAAGCATTTTTGATTCATATTAAGATCATTTCAATTTTTATTAAAAAATCATTATATTAAATTTTGACCTTTGACAGTTTATAACCTATTTTAATTTTATTTCTGCTAACAATCATCGTAAAACCCGTCAAAATTGCTTTCCTTTAATACCAAACATGATATACTTGGGTTGAAAAATAAAAAAGTTAGGTTATAAACTGTCAAATGTCAAAATTAAATATAATAAATTTTGATAAATATTGATATGATTTTAATAAGAATCAAAAATGCTTTGATTTGATAAAAAAAAAAAAATGGCGGTTATTTGACAGTTTCTAACCTAACTTTTTTATTTTTTAACCCAAATATATCGTGTTTGGTATCAAACCAGAGCATTTTTGATTCTTATTAAAATCATATCAACATTTATCAAAATTTGTTATATTTAATTTTGACATTTGACAGTTTATAACCTAACTTTCTTATTTTTTAACCAAAATATATCATGTTTGGTATCAAATTAAAGCATTTTTGATTCTTATTATGATCAATTCAATATTTATTAAAAAATCATTACATTAAATTTTGACTTTTGACAGTTTATAACCTATTTTAATTTTATTTCTGCTAACAATCATCGTAAAACCCGTCAAAATTGCTTTCCTTTAATACCAAACATGATATACTTGGGTTGAAAAATAAAAAAGTTAGGTTATTAACTGTCAAATGTCAAAATTAAATGTAGCGAAAAAAGGTTGTTGTTTATAAAGGTGTTCTTTTTTAACATAAATGGACAGAAAATTAAAAATGCTTTAAAATGAACCCAAACTCGACTTATTTATCTCTAACCGTTATCGAAATAACTTAATTTTTACAAAAAAAAAATGGCGGTTATTTGACAGTCTTTAACCTAACTTTCTTGTTTTTTAACGCAAATATATCGTGTTTGGTATCAAATTAAAGCATTTTTGATTCTTATTAAAACCATTTCAATATTTATCAAAAATCGTTATATTTAATTTTGACATTTGACAGTTTTTAACCTAACTTTTTTATTTTTGAACCCAAATATATCGTGTTTGGTATCAAATTAACGCATTTTTGATTCTTATTAAAACCATTTCAATATTTATCAAAAATCGTTATATTTAATTTTGACATTTGACAGTTTTTAACCTAATTTTCTTATTTTTTAACCAAAATATATCGTGTTTGGTATCAAATGAAAGCATTTTTGATTGAAAATAATAATAAACAGCCCCCTCTCACGGTTTTCGAGGGAAACCAAAAAACCAAATTTATTTATTTATAATAACTTCATCGAGCTATCACTAGAAATAACACTATTAGTAACAACTTTTTCCTCAACTTCTTTATGAAACCGAATTTGTAATTTATCCAACTTAACGTGCTCAATTCTTAATCGTTTTTGATAAGAACTCGGGTACGCACAACAACACCGATGTTTACACTTAAGAATTTTCGTTCTATACCTAATTTCGCGATGTGGAAAATACATTAAACGATTCTCCTTATCAACGGGATCGTACGGACCCCACTCATTATCCGGCTTCGAAAGTTTCGCCACATCCGCCGTCTTCAGGTGACTACAACATCGCGCGATTCCCAACACAACAACCGGTGCGAACATAAAAAAAGTATGCAAATAAACAAAAATCACAACGTAATTACCTCTCGAACAAATCTCCGCTTCATATTGATTATAAATCACGAAAATAAACGCGAAAATTGCGAATATCGGCGAAGATTTCCAAAATGTTAACCAATACTTTTCGGGGATTACCCCGTAAGTGAATAGGTAATCGTCTAAGATGCTTCGGTGTGAGTACGCGAAAAATAGGGCTACGTTGAAAAATAAAAGTAATCCGGTAGCTAAAAAAGGGAACGAACATCTTTTATAAATGGCGATAACGAAACCGCCGCTTGTCGTTAAGAGGGTTAGGTTTAAAACGAAACTTCCTGCGCTAATTAATAGGCACACGTAAAATTTGTATCGGTTTAAAACGGGGAAACGCTGCGTTATCGAATCGGTTAGTGCCAAAACGCTGTAAAGTGGCGTTATGAAGCTGAAGTAAAAAACGGCGAGGTACCACGTTGGAACTATCAAGCGGCGAACTCCGCTTTGGAATAAAACGTCTGGGACGAAAGCGAAGATTATATCAAAACCTAGATTAAAAAAAAAAATTTTATAATGGTGGTCACATCGTATAACCTCGATTATTAATAACCTTGAGATTTTCAGAAGGAGATTCATCAATAATTGGCAAATAGAAGTGAAGGTCAACAACCCCCACCTAGATAGTTATAAATGTAAGAATTACTATTATCAGATTTTTTTTAGTCTTAACTAAGCCGAGGTCGCTTGCGGCCGAGGCATTACACCATTCAGAAATAATGTTATACAGTATATGTAGCGCCTCGGCCACAAACGATTTCGACTAAATACATTACTATAACATTTTTCTGTCTAAATTGAGCCGAGGTCGCTTGCGGCCGAGGCATTAGGGTTGATACAGTTTAGAAATAATGTCTTACAGCATATGTAGCTCCTCGGCCGCAAGCGATCTTAGCTTAATACATTACTATAACATTTTTTCTGCCTTAATTGAGCCGAGGTCGCTTGCGGCCGAGGCATTAGTGTTGATACCATTTAGAAATAATGTTTTACAGCATATGTAGCTCCTCGGCCGCAAGCGATCTTAGCTTAATACATTACTATAACATTTTTTCTGTCTTAATTGAGCCGAGGTCGCTTGCGGCCGAGGTATTAGGGTTGATACCATTTAGAAATAATGTTTTACAGCATATGTAGCTCCTCGGCCGCAAGCGATCTAGGCTTAATACATTACTATAACATTCTTTCTATGTTAATTGTGCCGAGGTCGCTTGCGGCCGAGGCATTAGGGTTGATACCATTTAGAAATAATGTTTTATAGCATATATAGCTCCTCGGCCGCAAGCGATCTTAGCTTAATACATTACTATAACATTTTTTCTGTCTTAATTGTGCCGAGGTCGCTTGCGGTCGAGGCATTAAGGTTGATACCATTTAGAAATAATGTTTTATCTACAACTATTGAATTATCTATTCATTATACATTTAATTTTTGACGGGTAATGACACGCATTACTCATGACTGACAAAGTGTTGAATAATCAAGCCATTATTCCACAGTTCTGACACGGCCTACTAATCAAAAAATAAAATATTAACAGAAATGACAGCTTTCTTATATTGAGGTTATGTCTAAAATGTCTATCAAGTTTATTTTTTTTCCTTTTTTTTATTTTTTCTTCAAAATTAAATAGTTGTAGATAAAGTATAATATATAATGGATGTTACCCACTCAGATTGCAACTTCATCTTCGTGGGTAACAGCCGCCATTATACGCTTGTTGAATAATATACTATTACAGCATATGTAGCTCCTCGGCCGCAAGCGATTTAGGCTTAATACATTACTATAACATTTTTTTCTGTTTTAATGGAGCCGAGGTGACTTGCGGCCGAGGCATTAAGGTTGATTCCATCGAGAAATAGTATGGTACAGCATACATAGCACTTCGACTGTAAGCGACTTCAACTAATACACTACTATAACATCCTTTGTGTCTTAGTTGAGCCAAGATCCCTTGCGGCCGAGGCGCTACATATGCTGTAAAACATCATTTCTGAATCATATCAACCCTAATGCCACAGAATAACCAGAAATGACACTGACGCCGATTCTTTTGATGTGGGCGGCATCTCGTTCCATAACCTCGATTTAAAATCCGCCATCTTATCGCGAGGAACCGTTGAACGCCAACTTAATTTACAGAGAATTGTGTTCGAAATCCATTTTACCAGTATTATTAATAATTAGAAGAAATAATGTATCAAGTCTTTAATTAAAGACCAGTTGACTCTACATATGCTGTATAACATTATCTCTGGATGGTATCAACCCCTCTATACAGGCTGTTCGGAAATGACGTGTACAATGAAAGACCACAAGTACCTTGACCAAAAATATGATGATTTAACTCAACTTATCTAATTTTATTTCTACTAACAATCATCGTAAAACCCTTCAAAATTGCTTTATTTTGATACCAAACATGATATATTTGGGTTAAAAAATAAAAAAGTTAAGTTAGAAACTGTCAAATATAACGAAAAAAAAATTGTTGGTATAAAGGTGTTCTTTTTTTAACATAAATGGATAGAAAATTAAAAATGCTTTAAAATGAACCCAAACTCGACTTATTTATCTCTAACCGTTGTCGAGATATTTTAATTTTTACCAAACAAAAATGGCGATTATTTGACATTTGACAGTTTCTAACCTAACTTTTTATTTTCACCTCAAACATATCATATTTGGTATCAAATTAAAGCATTTTTGATTCTTATTAAAACCATTTCAATATTTATCAAAAATCGTTATATTTAATTTTGACATTTGACAGTTTTTAACCTAACTTTCGTATTTTTTACCCCAAATATATCGTGTTTGGTATCAAATCAAAGCATTTTTGATTCTTATTAAAATCATATCAACAATTATCAAAATTTATTATATTTAATTTTGACATTTGACAGTTCTAACCAAACTTTCTTATTTTTTACCCCAAATACATCATGTTTGGTATCAAATCAAAGCATTTTTGATTCTTATTAAAATCATATCAACATTTATCAAAATTTGTTATATTTAATTTTGACATTTGACAGTTTATAACCTAACTTTTTTCATTTTTGAACCCAAATATATCGTGTTTGGTATCAAATCAAAGCATTTTTAATTCTTATTAAGATCATTTCAATATTTAACAAAAAATCGTTATATTTATTTTTGACAGTTTCGAACCTAACTTTCTTATTTTTTAACCCCACATATATCATGTTTGGTATCAAAATTAAAAATCCTTTAATATGAACCCAAACTCGACTTGTTTATCTCTAACCGTTATCAAGATATCTTAATTTTTACCAAAAAAAAAATGGCGGTTATTTGACAGTTTCTAACCAAACTTTTTTATTTTTTAACCCAAATATATCGTGTTTGGTATCAAATTAAAACATTTTTGATTCTTATTAAGGTCATATCAATATTTATCAAAAATCATTATATTTAATTTTGACATTTGACAGTTTTATAACCTATTTTAATTTTATTTCTGCTAACAATCATCGTAAAACCCGTCAAAATTGCTTTCCTTTAATACCAAACATGATATACTTGGGTTGAAAAATAAAAAAGTTAGGTTATTAACTGTCAAATGTCAAAATTAAATGTAGCGAAAAAAGGTTGTTGTTTATAAAGGTGTTCTTTTTTTAACATAAATGGATAGAAAATTAAAAATGCTTTAAAATGAACCCAAACTCGACTTATTTATCTCTAACCGTTGTCGAGATATTTTAATTTTTACCAAACAAAAATGGCGATTATTTGACATTTGACAGTTTCTAACCTAACTTTTTATTTTCACCTCAAACATATCATATTTGGTATCAAATTAAAGCATTTTTGATTCTTATTGAAACCATTTCAATATTTATCAAAAATCGTTATATTTAATTTTGACATTTGACAGTTTTTAACCTAACTTTCTTATTTTTTAACCGAAATATATCGTGTTTGGTATCAAATCGAAGCATTTTTGATTTTTAAGAAGCAATTGAAGAATATATAGATAGATTAAATACTACAGGACTTGGAAAAATGATATATTGAAATATTGACCTTCATTTCTATTTGCCAAGTGATTGATACGATATTAATACCTCAGCGGACGAGGCGATACAATACAATATGTTATACATTTACCTGTGACGAATAAACAAGCTTGATCGACGATTTTTAGATGATACAAGATATCTTGACATATCAAAGAGCTGATACAAGTTAACAAAGAAAACAGAACAATTTTGATTAACGAAGTTAAAATGATGGCAAATTTCGGATCAATCGATTTTGGTTTGATGGTAGCCAACCAAATTATATTTCCAAACCCAGTTGGTTGAACGGCATACACGAACAAATCCGACCAAAACTGACGAAGAAAACATTAAAAATTATCAACAACCGAAATAATACTCACCTCGAAAGAAAACAAGCAAGATATTTCCCCAAAAGATCTCGCCCTAATCTCAAATCGCGGATGAGCGTGCGAAATCGCCACCAAAACCGTTAAAATCACGACAAAACCACACACGAATTGCAGATTAGTCGTCAACGTTTTTAAACGTTTAATTCCCCCCAAAGCCATTGCGAAAATTAGGGTCCAAATTAAAAAGGAAGAAACGACGAGGTTGTTGTTTAATTTTGGGGGGGTGGTTTCATCGTAGGAGTGGTTCAAAAGTTTTCTAAAACAATACAAAAATTAAAATATGCAACAAAGTATGATGAAAAATAATACATGAAATAATATTGCGTTGTTGTTAAAAATCTCGTATCGGCCTCTTTTTGACAAGGAATGTGATACAAGAATCTCGGATATTTCGATAAACATCTCAAATCGTTCCCGTTTTTCAAAATGAGCCCCTCGCAAAAATTCGCCTTAAATTGCCCCGCCAAGCAGTGATAAAACGTGAGTAAAGCCGTCGCCGCCATCGAACTGTTAAATAATTCCCCCATTAATTTAACACTTCCCACCATGTAGCCAAGCCCTTCGAAAATGGGGGCGCAAGTGAATAGTTTTATGTAACTCTTTTTTGAGTAACTCCCCAAAAATGTTAATAACATATAAATAGGCATCGTTAATGTTACCATTATGAAGATGTATGCACCACCGATGTAAACTACAACAAAATTAATTAATTAATTATAAAATTAATTAAAAAAAATAAGATTTACATGGTCCGTGTTTAACAACTAAATCAAGGTACGTTATTAAACTGTTCATACCGCACTCGTACATAATAATCAACATAACGTACTCTAAGGTGGTTAATTCAAAGGATAAGTTGTACTAAAAAATGAATAATCGATTATTATATTATTATATTTATTATAAAGATATTTACCGCGTCGTTAGTTCCGATTATTGCTCTTAATCCTTTCATTCTAACTCTTAAAATTCTCGGTAATTCCGATTCTCGCGTTGGGTAAACTTTTTTTCGGTGCACTCGCATCATTTTGTGTTTATTTTAATTTTTAATGTTGTTATGTCAATGTTGAAATGGCACGAAAAGACGACTTTGATTTATTAAGTTAAATGTTGTGTGAAATTTTAAACAAAAATTTGTTTATGGTCTTTTTTTTTCTGTTGGAACTACGAAACGAATGGAAATAAAAATTTTGGGCGTTTTTGAACAGCTTTTTGTTAGGAGGGTCTAATCTTCTCCGAACTGGAAGTGATAAGCAAGAAGTAGTCGTTTGGCAGGTATATCTAGCTTTTTGCAAGTAATAAATCAACGAGATTGCTAAAAATTGTTTTCTGCCAACGGTATCTATATTTCTACAAGCAATATTTCGTCACCTTTTTGCAGTCTTTAAACCTATCGGTCATATCTAGTCTTATGCCAGCGTTATCTATGTTTTTGCAAGAAGTATTTCCTCTTTTTATTGCAGTATTTAGACATGTCAATAGTGTCTAGTCTTCAGAAAGCAGTATTTAGTCTTCCAGAAGCAGTATTTAGTCTTCCAGAAGCAGTATTTAGTCTTCTAGAAGCAGTATTTAGTCTTCCAGAAGCAGTATTTAGAAATGTCAGCAGTATCTAGTCTTCAGAAAGCAGTATTTAGTCTTCAGAAGCAATATTTAGAAATGTCAGCAGTATCCAGTCTTCAGAAAGCAGTATTTAGTCTTCCAGAGGCAGTATTTAGAGCTGACAGCAGTATCTAGTTTTAAGAAACCAGTATTTAGTTTTCTATAAGCAGTATTTAGTCTGCACCAAGCAGCATTTAGTCTTCCAGAAGCAGAATTTAGACCTGTCAGCAGTATCTAGTCTTCAGAAAGTTGTTGTAGTCTTCAGAATTCAGCATTTAGTCTTCCAGAAGTTGTATCGAGTTTTTTGCCAACGTTCTATATGTTTTTTCAAGCAGTATCTCATCTTTCTTTTGCAGTATTTAGAGCTATCGGCAGTATATAGTCTTCAGAAAACAGTATTTAATCTTCCAGAAACAGTATTTAGACCTGTCAGCAGTATTTAGTCTTCCAGAAGCAGTTTTTAGACCTGTCAGCAGTATTTAGTCTCCAGGAAGCAGTATTTAGTCTTCAAAAAGCAATATTTAGTCTTCCAGAAGCAGTATTTAGACCTGTCAGCAGTATCTAGTCTTCAGAAAGCAGTATTTAGTCTTCCAGAAGCAGTGTCTAGTTTTCAGAAAGCACTATTTAGTCTTCCAGAAGCAGTATTTAGACCTGTCAGCAGTATTTAGACCTGTCAGCAGTATTTAGACCTGTCAGCAGTATTTAGTCTCCAGGAAGCAGTATTTAGTCTTCAAAAAGCAATATTTAGTCTTCCAGAAGCACTATTTAGATCTGTCAGCAGTATCTCGTCTTCAGGAAGCAGTATTTAGTCTTCCAGAAGCAGTATTTAGACCTGTCAGCAGTATTTAGTCTCCAGGAAGCAGTATTTAGTCTTAAAAAAGCAATATTTAGTCTTCCAGAAGCACTATTTAGACCTGTCAGCAGTATCTCGTCTTCAGGAAGCAGTATTTAGTCTTCCAGAAGCAGTGTCTAGTTTTCAGAAAGCAGTATTTAGTCTTCCAGAAGCACTATTTAGACCTGTCAGCAGTATTTAGTCTCCAGGAAGTAGTATTTAGTCTTCAAAAAGCAATATTTAGTCTTCCAGAAGCAGTGTTTAGACCTGTCAGCAGTATCTAGTCTTCAGAAAGCAGTATTTAGTCTTCCAGAAACAGTATCTAGTTTTCAGAAAATAGTATTTAGTCTTCCAGAAACAGTATTTAGACCTGACAGCAGTATCTAGTCTTCAGAAACCAGTATTTAGTTTCCTATAAGCAGTATTTAGTCTTCTAGAAGCAGAATCTAGTCTTTTGCCAACGTTATGTATGTTTTTTCAAGCAGTATCTCATCTTTCTTTTGCAGTATTTCCACCTGTCAGCATATCTAGTCTTCTAGAAGCAGAATTTAGACCTCTCAGCAGTATCTAGTCTTCAGAAAGCAATATTTAGTCTTCTAGAAGCAGAATTTATACCTGTCAGCAGTATCTAGTCTTCAGAAAGTTGTTGTAGTCTTCAGAATACAGTATTTAGCCTTCCAGAAGCAAAATCTAGTCTTTTGCCAACGTTATGTATGTTTTTTCGATTAGTACCTCATCTTTATTTTACAGTATTTCGACCTGTCAGCATATCTAGTCTTCAGAAAGCAGTATTTAATCTTCATAACGAAGTATTCAGCCTTCTAGTAGCAGAATTTAGACCTCTTAGCACTATCTGGTCTTCAGAAAGCAATATTTAGTCTTCTAGAAGCAGAATTTAGACCTGTCAACAGTATCCAGTCTTCAGAAAGTTGTTGTAGTCATCAAAATTCAGTATTTAGACTTCCAGAAGCAGTATCTAGTCTTTTGCCAACGTTATGTATGTTTTTTCAAGCAATATCTCATCTTTCTTTTGCAGTATTTGGACCTGTCAGCATATCTAGTCTTCAGAAAGCAGTATTTAGTCTGCAAGAAACAGTATTTAGTCTTCCAGAAGCAGAATTTAAACCTGTCAGCAGTATCCAGTCTTCAGAAAGTTGTTGTAGTCTTCAGAGTTCAGTATTTAGTCTTCCAAAAGCAGTATCTAGTCTTTTGCAAACGTTATGTATGGATTTTCAAGCAGTATCTCATCTTTCTTTTGCAGTATTTAGACTTGTCAGCAATATTTAGTCTTCAGAAAACAGTATTTAGACCTGTCAGCTGTATCTAGTCTTCAGAAAGCAGTATTTGGCCTTCCAGAAGCTATATTTAGACCTGTCAGCAGTATCTAGTCTACCAGAAGCAGTGTCTAGTCTTCAGAAAGCAGTATTTAGTCTTTCAGAAGCAGTATTTAGACCTGACAGCATTATCTAGTTTTAAGAAACCAGTATTTAGTTTTCTATAAGCAGTATGTAGTCTGCAACAAGCAGTATTTAGTCTTCTAGAAGCAGAATTTAGACCTGTCAGCAGTATCTAGTCTCCAGGAAACAGTATTTAGTCTTCAAAAAGCAATATTTAGTCTTCCAGAAGCAATATCTAGTCTTCTGCCAACATTATGTACGTTTTTTCAAACAGTATCTTATCTTTCTTTTACAGTATTTAGACCTGTCAGCAGTATCTAGTTTTCAGAAAGCAATATTTAGTCTTTCAGAAGCAATATCTAATCTTCTGCCAACATCATCTATCTTTTTGCAAATAATATCTCGTCTTTCCCTGCAATATTTAAACCTACCAAAAACATTTAATCCTCATAAATCAGTAACTAGTCTTCTGAAAACATTATCTAATCTTCTGCCAATGGCTTTCATCTTTCTGTAGGCAGTATCTTATCGAAAATCGCAAACACCAAGACGTTTTGGAACTGATAAAAATCTTTTAGATAGTAAAATAGAACGTATCTTGCTTAAATCAATGGAAAAAAGTATCATAGATGACTTTGAAGGCATCGAGCAACCCTAATCATCATGGATGTTACTCTCTAACTTTCTTTTAGCCTTGCCCACGCAGTAGCAGTCTTTTTCTAGCGGTGTGTAGTCTTCTGCTAACAATATCTAGTATTTTCCAAACACCTAGAGGTCTTTTATCAGCAGTATCTAGTCTTTAATCGGCAATATTTAGTCTTCTCCAAACAGTTAATAGTTTTTTTCCAACACTATGTGGTCTTCTTCTAGTAATGGATAGTCTTCTGGCAGCAGTAACTCATCTTTAGCAGTATCTAGGTTTCCCAGAGTAATCAGCAGACTATTTCTAACAGTATCTACTATTTTTAACAGCATCATCTAGTCTTCTACAAGTAATAAGTAAACTTTTAGCCACAGTAACCAGTTTTTCCAAGCAATTAGCAATATTCTTCTAACAGTATCTTATTTTCGATTCATTTTAGACCGTTCTAAAACTTTTAATATTATTTGACAGTTCGCGATTATTGACAGTTTTATGACGTTTAAAATTTAACACCTTTTTTGACAAAAATACTTTTTTAAACAAAATAAAACCGCTTTTTACAATCAACGATGTCGGTTATTCAAAATTACTTTAAAGAATTACTTTAAAAGTGTTACTTTAAAAGTATATTTTAATTTTTTATTAAAAATAAAATGTGGTGGTACTATTGGTTACCATGGAAACGCGCACTTAGTACTCTTTCGCAAACGTCAAGATGAGTGTTGAGCGAAATTGTTATTTATAATAATTATTTCGTGTGTTTTAGTGCTAAATAAGTGATTGTTTATAAATGTTTGTGTTAGGCGGTTCATTAAAAGGTAAGTCATACGAATTAATTCTTTCTTTTTCGGCAACATTTAAAATCGTTTTTTTTATCTCTAACTTTAATGATTTGTTTTAAATTAACCTGAAATAATAATAAATAAATAAATACTCACGATATATCAACCCCAAAAAAGAAATTTGCGTGGTTTTATCTACGATCCTAAATTTGGGAATGATTTATAGGTTATGTTTATATCGACAATTTTTCTTCGAGTTAAAAATAAACGTAAAGTTAGCTACATTTTATTATTATTAATTTTTTAACCTCAATTTGTGGTTATTTAATATAAAAAATAAATAATTTAATTGTAACTTAAATATTTAATAAATCGATACAGCGTTCTACTTTATCGTCCTCGAATTGACAGATCTGAAGTTGTCTGCAACTATCGGCGAGTGTCATAAATAGTAAACAGTCCAATGTGATTTATAAAAAGTGAGGTTATTTCTCCGAAAATTACTAAATTAATCATAAAAAGTAATTTAAATCATGTTAAAACCACTTTTGAACGTTCTAAACAAATCGAGCATCGATTATTTATTTCCACGAGGACGTTTAAAATCGAATTATCGTTTTTTAAGCAAAAATTTAAAACCTAACCTCAAATCTGCGACAAATCTTTCCACGACCAAAGTCGCTTCGATAGCGAAATTCGTCGAAAATTCGTTTGCTTACAGCGTTTTAGAACCTCTACCGATTGTATCAACGTTGAAACAAATCTCGATTAATAATAATAATAATAAAAAAGTGAAAACTGAAGAAGATTTTGAGCGATTTTTGAATAAAGATTGGAGGAAATGTGGTGTTAAAGAGATCGTGGATGGGTTTAATGCGGTTCTTCCGTTTTGTGTGGAGAATAACGTTAATATTACGAATAAAAACTTTGATTTTTTAGTTGATGGGTTGTTGGATAACGTTGAGAATTTATCAACTGATGATATAATAAGTGTTTTAAAGTTTTTAACAGAGTCCCCTTTACCTGGGGGTTTAAATATGCATAATTACCACGATGTTTGGAGCGCTATGGACGACGTTTGTTGTTGGAGGTTAAAATCGTTTGATTTACAAACGAGTTTTTATGTGGCGAATTTGTGGTTTAAGATGGGTTTGGGAAGAATTTGCGATTTTATTTATGAATTATTAGAGAAGTACAGCAAAAAACCGGCGCGTTTAACTAAATCGGAGTTGGTTTATATCTTTTTTTATTTCAATATTTGTCGAAAACGCACCATGGATTTCTCTTATGAAGATGCGATCGAAAAAAAAATCTCTTTAATGTCGCCTGATGAAATTGGAATAGTCGCCTTGGGTTTTTTTAAGACTAAAACAATGATTAAAAGTGCTGATACATTAAATGTGATGATCGATTGTGCTATAAACAATTCGAAGAGTATTCATGAGATTACTTTGGCTGCTATTGTTAAAGTGAGTACTTAATTTTGATTTAATTTTAATTAAAATGATGTAAGAATCATTTCGCTTAAAAATCGACAAATTTTTTTGGCACAAATAAAAAAAACGTCACTTTTTGTGAGGTTATGGACCCTGCTAATCATATAAACAAAAACTTTCAGGTGTTAATATCAACTTTAATTTTATTACTATATTCGAAATCTTTATAAAATAACCTTTAAAATGAGTCCAAACATGACACATTTATCTCAAATAACAAAAAAATTAGAATAAAAGACATTAAACCGGAAGTTAGCAACAATTTAATTTTTAAATATTAATACCAACTTCAATTTTTGATTTTTTTAACTATATTTTATAAAAATTAAGAATATATCTCAATGACATTGACATTTCAAACCGGAAGTTGGCCATAACTTCATTAACATTGAAGATGTTAATGTCAACTTTAATTTTATTATTATATTTGTAAACTTTATAAAATAACCTTTAAAATGAGCCCAAACATGACACATTTATCTCAAAAAACAAAAAAGTTTGAATAAAAAGCATTAAACCGGAAGTTAGCAACAATTTAATTTATAAATATTAATACCAACCTTAATTTCTAATTTAGTTTTATTATGATAAATTTTAAAACATTTTATAAAAATTAAGAATATTTCAAAATGACATTGACATTTTAAACCGGAAGTTGCTTATATCTCGAGTAATATTGGAATTAAACACATCATGTTTGGGCTCATTTTAAAGGAATTTCACGACGATTACAAATATGTCAAAATTGAGATTGACATTTCTAACCGGAAGTTGACCATAACTTCATTAACATTGAAGATGTTAATGTCAACTTTAATTTTATTATTATATTTGTAATCTTTATAAAATAACCTTTAAAATGAGTCCAAACAAGACGCATTTATCTCAAAAAACAAAAAAATTAAAATAAAAAACATCAAACCGGAAGTTAGCAATTTAATTTTTAAATATTAATACCAACCTCAATTTTTGATTTTTTTAATTATATTTTTGTTTTTGTGACAAATTTTATACAAATTAAGTACATATCAAAATGACATTGACATTTTAAACCGGAAGTTGCTTATATCTCGAATAATATTGGAATTAAACGTATCATGTTTGGGCTCATTTTAAAGGATTTTTCACGACGATTACAAATATGTCAAAATTGAGGTTGACATTTCTAACCGGAAGTTGACCATAACTTCATTAATATTGAAGATGTTAATGTCAACTTTAATTTTATTATTATATTTGTAATCTTTATAAAATAACCTTTAAAATGACTCCAAACAAGACGCATTTATCTCAAAAAAAAAAAGTTTGAATAAAAAACATTAAACCGGAAGTTAGCAACAAATTAATTTTTAAATATTAATACCAACCTTAATTTCTGAATTTTTTTATTATATTTTTGTTTTTGTCACAAATTTTAAGGCATTTTATAAAAAATCAATAATATATCAAAATGACATTGACATTTCAAACCGGAAGTTGCTTATATTTCATGTAATATTGGGATTAAACGTATCATGTTTGGGCTCATTTTAAAGGATTTTTCACGACGATTACAAATATGTCAAAATTAAGGTTGACATTTCTAACCGGAAGTTGGCCATAACTTCATTAATATTGAAGATGCTACCGCCAACTTTAATTTTATTATTATATTTGTAATCTTTATAAAATAACCTTTAAAATGAGTCCAAACATGACGCATTTATCTCAAAAAACAAAAAAGTTAGAATAAAAAACATTAAACCGGAAGTTAGCAACAATTTATTTTTTTAAATATTATTACCAACCTTAATTTTTTTTTTTTATTACATTTTTATTTTTGTTACAAATTTTAAGAACTAAGAAAATATCAAAATGACATTGACATTTCAAACCGGAAGTTGCTTATATCTCGAGTAATATCGGAATTAAATATATCATGTTTGGGCTCATTTTAAAGGATTTTTCACGACGATTACAAATATGTCAAAATTGACTTTGACATTTCTAACCGGAAGTTGACCATAACTTCATTAATATTGAAGATAAATATGTCGTGTTTGTACTCATTTTAAAGGATTTTTAATGAAGATTACAAACATGTCAAAAAAAATCGTCGATTTTTATTCCACACGATGATTCTTGATTTTTTCCCAATACATTTTTAATCCAGACAATTCGATTATCTCATCACCCCTTAACGGCGACTAAAACAGCGGAGCTCCTCCAAGTGATCACACCGGAAATCGAAAGATTATCGCACATTTGCTGCATGCATTTGGCCCTTTTAGGAACCGGTTTGCAAATATTCAACAAAACCGCGTTAACGAAAATTTGCGAAAAACTCTCGAAAAGCATCCACGACAAAGAAACGATTCGAATAAAAGACATCGAGCGCCTCCTCCTCACATTAACAATGTTCGATTTTAAACCGAAAGTTTCCACGACGAACGACATTTACGACCTCCTTCTCCGGGAATTCTACAACCCAGCTCGACAAGGTGAAATCGAAAGTCACCCAAAATGCCTTCCGTGTTCCCTCCTGTTTTTGGCAATCCGAAATATTTACCCCGAAGATCTAATAGATGGCGTTTTAAACCCGGATTTTTTAAAGAAAACTTACGGGAAACAATTTTTGGATATTCCGAGGGAATTATACTCTTTAGATATGTGTTTAGAGATTGAAAGGCCGAATTATAAAGGAAATCGGATACCTAAAGACAAGCGGAGGAGATGCGCGAAAGTTTTTATTGAACGATTACCTAAAAAAGAGAAAAAAAGCATGAATGCAGCCGATCGATTAATCCACGACGTGTTAGATTCTTGCTTAAAAGTAACGGGAGATTCGAATAAAGTGTTTTTGGGGCATATCATACCGCAATATGTCAAAGCTGATATTGTCTTGTGTTACGACGAATTAAACAAGGAATTTATAACCCCAAATTTTACTCAGTATGAAATTGGTGATATTGTGAGACCTCCAAATAAGAAAAATTTGAGGTGGATTGTAGTTGTGCCAGTTTCTGTTAATACGACGATTAGATATTTATTAAAACCGGTGGGATTCATGAATTTAAAACGACGACAATTAAAATTGTTGGGTTACGACGTCGTTATGGTAAACGTGATTAAATTGTTTAATTTATATAGGATTAATTTAAAATTTTTAGGTTCCTTATCACGAGTATATTCCGTTAGATGAAGATGATAAAGTTGAATATATTTCTAGTTTAATACAAAGAGTTCTTTAAATAAATAAATTTTTATAAACAATTAATTAGAAATGTCAAATTTAAAGTTTTATTCGGAGGTACCAACCTAAATCGAAGTGTCATTATTCGTAATGACGGTTTTAACGTAACTTCAAATTAAAATTTTTTATTTATTTTATACAACAACAACGATTTGAAATTAGTTAAATTATTTATTAATTAATAATAAATAACAATATTTAGTTGAATTTTAAACTTTTTTGTTGATTTTTTATAACTTTTAATAATAATCAAAATTTGACGTGTAAATTGGGTTGCATAACATTTTTGACATAACCTAATTATGACGTAAAATGACAAACGCTAATTATTTAAGACGTGTTTGAATTTTGTTTATAATTAATTTATTGTCTTAAAACGCGAGATATATTTTTTAGGTAATATTAGAAAAATTCAATTAAAAGTTATTAAAAAAAAATTAATTAATGTTTATAAATGTCACTAGATGGCGCTACCTTCTACGCGTCTTTTTCAAGTGACATTTTTGACGTTTCATTAAAAAAAATATTTAAGTCATTTTGCGTTAGAAATAAAACTAAAACTAGAAATTTTAGGGTTATGTCGTGCGTCATTTTATTACATCGGCAGAAAAAACTATCAAAATTTTGTAACTAAACTATTTTTTTTACAACATGGTTTTGTGATTCCAAAATGTTTATGTTAGTTAAAAAGAGATGGATGTAGCACATTTTAACGTAATAGACAAGGATAAATATATTCTGATCGATTCAATTTGAAATCTATTAATCCAAACGAATCGATTTAATTTGAAATTGGTTAAATTATTTATTAATTAATAAAAATAACAATATTTAGTTGAATTTTAAACTTTCTTGTTAATTTTTTATAACATTTTGCTTTAATAATAATTAAGATTTGACATGTAAATTGGGTTGCATAACATTTTTGACATAACCTAATTGTGGTGTAATGACAGACGCTAATTGTTTGTTCTTTGAGAAGTGTTTTAGTGTTGTTTATAATTAATTTATTGTCTTAAAACGCGTGAGATATCTTTTATTTTTGTTAATTAGTGCGTTATTATGATGTATGTATCATTACGATGTTAAAAACAGGTTAATATTAACAAAGTTAACGATTTAAACAATAATGGGTAATATCGAAACGAACGTTTCTGTAAAATCGGTTACAACACCCCTAATAATAATAATATTAATAATAATAATAACCCAAGAGCTTGGATGAGATGGAGTTACCAAGTTTCGTTGAAGGTAAGTGATTTTAATTCTATATTATAAGTCTAAATTAGTTTTTTATTAACAATTATTATTAATCACAATTTAATTTGTAATAATTAAATTAACCAAGACAACTAATTTCATAGCTGTCAATTAATGTTGTGTTGTAACATAACCTCAATTCTAAATCCTCAATAAGTTTTATTACGATTTTTTTAAACGTGGTTATTGGAATGATTAGAAATAATTACAAAGTGAATAGTTAAATTTATGGTGGATTTTCAGTAACAATTAATTTTCGTATTAAAAACAATAATAATTACAGGGTTCTTCAATATAAGCAACTTCACAGTTGTTGATTAATATGACAGTTTTAACATAACCTCAAATTTAAGTTTTCAACGAAGTTTTTAGCAGAATTTTTAATTTTTTCTAGGATTTATCTGGTTAGAACTATCTAAAAGGTAATTAAAAAAGATTCGATTGATTTAATAGTGTTCTAGTACTTTTTGATTTGAAAGGGATTCATCGTTAAGTTATAAAGTGAGGTTTTATTACGATTATGGATGATTTTTTTAATCGTAGTTATAGGAACGATTAGGAATGAGTACAAAGTGAATTAGTTGATATTAAATTTACTGTTGATTTACGATAACAATTAATTTTCATATTAAAACAATAATTATTGCAAAATTTCCCAATATAACCAACTTCACAGTTGTTGATTAATATGACAGTTTTAACATAACCTCAAATTTAAGTTTTTAGCAGAATCTTTTTATTCTTCTACGATTTAGGTCCATTACTACCATCTTTTGGTTACATTTATCTTATAGATAAACCCATCTACTAGCCAATCAGACCGCGTAAAATAGCTGTAACCGTGGTAATAATCCCTTAGATAGCTTAGAGCCTTATCTGGTTACAACTATCTAAAAGGTAATTAACAAGGATTCGATTGATTTAATAGTGTTTTAGGTACTTTTTCATTTCTAGGAGATTCATCGTTAAGTTATAAAGTGATGTTTTATTACGATTATGGATGATTTTTTTAATCGTAGTTATAGGAACAATTAGAAATAAATACAAAGTGAGTTTAGTCGATATTAAATTTATGGTTGATTTTCAATAACAATTAACTTTCGTATTAAAAACAATAATTATTACAGGGTTCTTCAATATAACCAACTTCACAGTTGTTGATTAATATGACAGTTTTAACATAACCTCAAATTTAAGTTTTCAACGAAGTTTTTATTTTTCTACGATTTAGGTCCATTACTACCATCTTTTGGTTACATTTATCTTATAGATAAACCCATCTACTAGCCAATCAGACCGCGTAAAATAGCTGTAACCGTGGTAATAATCCCTTAGATAGCTTAGAGCCTTATCTTCTTACAACTATCTAAAAGGTAATTAAAAAGGATTCGATTGATTTAATAGTGTTTTAGGTACTTTTTCATTTCTAGGAGATTCATCGTTATGTTATAAAGTGATGTTTTATTACGATTATGGATGATTTTTTTAATCGTAGTTATAGGAACGATTAGAAATAATTACAAAGTGAGTTTAGTCGATATTAAATTTATGGTGGATTTTCAATAACAATTAACTTTAGTATTAAAAACAATAATTATTACAGGGTTCTTCAATATAACCAACTTCACAGTTGTTGATTAATATGACAGTTTTAACATAACCTCAAATTTATGTTTTCAACAAGTTTTTAGCAGATTTTATTTTTCAACAATTTATGTGGTTACAACTATCTAAAAGGTAATTAAAAAAGATTCGATTGATATAATAGTGTTGTAGGTACTTTTTGATTTCTACAAGATTCATCGTTAAGTTATAAAGACAGGTTTTATTACGATTATGAATGATTTTTTTAATCGTAGTTATAGGAATGAGTATTAAGTGAATTAGTTGATATTAAATTTACTTTATTATTTATTTATTATTGCAAAATTTCCCAATATAACCAACTTCACAGTTTTCGATTGTTATTTATGACAATTTTAACATAACCTTAAATTTAAGTTTTTAGCAGAATTTTTTATTTTTCTACGATTTATTATCAAGAACCTCAACAATTTCTAGTTTTAGTTTAATTTCTTATTATATCGACAGAAAACTGTAACAAAATTTTGCGATTAAAATAATTTTGTGTTTAAAAGTTTTCAACCTGCCGTTACCATGGTGATTTATCAATACGCACCGACATCTTTAAATAAGCACCACTTGTTGCGTCAAGAGAAAGTTTTATCAAAATTATCACGATTATTTTAAACAATTTTCGCAGTAAATGAAGCTGAAGCACAATTATTAAGGCTGAGTAAGTACATTTAACTTTTTTAAATGAATTTGTTGTTATTGCGTTGTAAAAATTATCTTGTCGTTGTTCTCAACTTTTATTTAACACATTCAGCGTTAGAAATAAAACTAAAACTACAAATTTTGAGGTTATGTCGTGCGTTAAAGACTTAAATCTCAATCGAGAAGTAACAAAAAGTGAACTCAGCCGGCTCCAAGAACTGAAGGGGCGGCCGATGTCTTCGAAAACGGCCGTGTTGGTACTCGAAAATGATGTTGCGGATTCCTAACCTTACTTTAATAACACAACCTAACCTCACGTTTTTGAATTAGATTTTATTTTGACGTTTTATTTAAAAAAAAATGTATTCGACTCTTTTTACGTTAGAAATTAAACTAGTACTAGAAATTAAACAGTAATTCGTTTTTCCTGGTTTTTAATTATATTAAAATATTTGACATAATGACAAGATTTAGAGTTTTTTTTTAGACTTTTCCCGATAGATGGCGCTACCTCCTATGCGTCTTTTTTAAGTGACATTTTTGACGTTTCATTAAAAAATTTATTTAACTCACTTTGCGTTAGAAAATTAATGATTTTGTAACTAAACTATTTTTTTTTTTTAAGTTTTGAACCTGTCGTTACTATGGTGATTTATCAACAAACACGGACATCTTCAAAAAAGTCACTTGTTGCATCACGAGAAAGTTTTATCAAAATTGATGAAATGAAGCTGGAAGATCCGGTTTTAAGACAGAGTGAGTACATTCAATTTTTGTAATGTTATTGCAATTCGTTATCTCAAAACTAAATTTATTAACAAAAAGAAACCTAACCTATTTAATTAGCGTCTCATCTAAGTCACGTCCCTCAATAGATGGCGCTGAAATTAACGCATTTAAATAAAATCAATTTAGTACAATTATAAACAAACAATTTTTAATTTTTATTATTTAAACGGGTTCCCCAAGCGGTCTCATCATAATATCTTGAATTTGCACATGATGAGGGGTCGACAAAACATAAACAACGGCATCAGCGACATCCTCCGCGTTTAATTTAGGCATCGCATCAAAAACTTTATCAAAACTCGTTTCCAAGTCGATTTTATTAATTTCCGTGTCAGTCGGACCCGGGCTAATCGTCTAAAACAAAATTAATTAATTTTTAGAATCATTTTTTTGATCAAAATTGTACGCAAACTCTAATCGGAACGTTTTCGGCCAAAAATTCCTGTCTCAAAGTCTCCGTTAAAGCCCTAATTGCGAATTTCGACGCCGGGTATAAATTTAAATTCGGAATATGAGCCACGTAGTGCCCCAAAACGCTCGAAATGTGGATTATTTGGCCTTCGATCGAGTGCGATTTCATGATTTTGATTGCTTCTCTTGTTGTTATGCAGGGGGCTAAGACGTTGGTGTCTAAAATTTCTTTCCATTTTGAGGTTTCGCCGTTGGAGAGGTTCGTGTTTTTGGTTATACCCGCGTTGTTTATTAAAATGTGAATTGGTCCTAATTTGGTTTTGACGAAATCGAATATCGCAAGGATTTCTTTTTCTTTTGTTAAATCGGCTTTAAAAGGAATAAGCTTTCCTTTGCAATTTTTTAATCTTTCCGACATCTCTTGAACCATCTCGATTCTTCTAGCGACTCCTACAACCTATTTTTTTAATGATTAGATTAATTATAAACACATTTTTTTATTTTTATTACAATTATCCCTTCTTGAACTAATTTTTCGGCAATCGCAGCTCCTATTCCTGCACTAACTCCAGTTACAATTGCGATTTTATTAACCCAACGGTCTAAGGAGAGCACCATTTTAGAGCTAGATTCGATTTAAACTCCGAGTTACTTTGTGAAATCGGAGTGAAAGTAATCACCTCGAAATCTGTTGCGTTTCATAACCTTGAAACAACAAAGAACGTTTTAATTTATACCTAAAATAGAAAAAAACAAAGAGTTATTCGATTAAATGCAAAATTTTTAAAACAAATCTCATTTTAACTCGTTATAATGGGTTAATTAATTAAAATTGTGTTAATTTCGCGAAATTAAAACATTTTTGACATCTGTCAATTTGTACATTTTAGACTTTTTCCAACAGATGGCGTTATCACCTGTGTCTTTTTTTAATTTCATTAATTTTTCAACAAAACCAAATCATCTCGATTTTCATAATACTCGCAAAAAAAGCTTTAAAATGAGCCCAAACACGACCAAGTTATCTTAAATAGTTCCCGAGATATCCCAATTTTAATTTTGACGTTTAACTAAAAAAAAGACGATCGATTAATTAAAAATCGCGATATCTCGGGAACTAATTAAGATAACTATGTGGTGTTTGGACTCATTTTAAACGATTTTTTAATCCGCGTCGATTAGAATCATTAAAAATAACCAAAAATGAAGTTTTGGGTGAAGTTGTATTAAGTAAAATCGAAAATAAATTGTCGAAACTTCCATATCGTAATTGCAAGTGGGATTTTGTTCGCTTAAAAGAAGAAAAGTTGGTTTTTAATGATTTAAAAGGTTCTACAAAAATAGAAAAATCGGAATTAATTAAAAATTATTACAATTTTCGTAATCTACATAAAAAGACGATCAATTTGAGCCCAAACACGACCAAGTTATCTTAAATAGTTCCCGAGATATCCCAATTTTAATTTTGACGTTTAACTAAAAAAAAAGACGATCGATTAATTAAAAATCGCGATATCTCGGGAACTAATTAAGATAACTATGTGGTGTTTGGGCTCATTTTAAAGGATTTTTTCGTCTTTTTCAACTATTTATTATTATTTAGCTAATTTTGCGTCTTTAAATAACCTAAAAATTTAAAATGCATAATCTAAAATGATTCAAATAGTGATTAAATTAAATTTTATGTAAAATGAATCAACTTACAAATATTTTTAAATTGACATAAAAAAGTTAGGTTATGTCTGAAACTTCATTCCGAGATAAAAATCGTTTCGTGGTGTCTAAAATCGGTTTAAGCAAGCGGTTAGGATGTTCGAAAATGTTTTTAAATGTTTCTTTCGGTTGAATCGCACCTTTTTATTGCAAAAATTAATAATTTTTGTATGAAATTTTTCTATACGTCAAAAATACGATTAATGTGGGGAATATCCACGAGATGGGGTTGATAAAAAAAATTTAATTAATAAATTTAAAACAATTATTAATAAAAATTAACGTTATAATTAAAAAAATCGATGATTTTCGATTTAATTTAGCATTAATATTAGAAAAATTCAATTAAAGTTATTAAAAAAAAATGAATTAATGTTTATAAATGTCACTAGATGGCGCTACCTTCTACGCGTCTTTTTGACGTGATATTTCTTGACGTTTCATTAAATAAAATTATTTTAACTCATTTTGCGTTAGAAATAAAACAAACTAGAAATTTTAAGGTTACAAAATTTTTAGTTGTTTTTAATTGTTGTAAAGTTTTCAAAATTAACAGGGAGTTTTGTTTTATCATGTTTTGAAGTAAATATGTCACATTGACGTTTGAGCTTTCGTTATTCAAAAAGAAAAGGTGCATAAAAAGTGTTGTGAGGTGTTTATTTGCCATTTACTTACCTAGAAAACGTATTTTATTCTATTTAAATGATCTATTATATGATTGGATTATAAAACATAAAGCTACATAAGAAAAATTTTTGAAAAAAGTTGAAATTTAGGTTGTGTTGGAACATATCAAGAAATACAAAGATTGTAACAAAAATTTGATAAAAAGATCCTGTCTGTATTTATGGGAGTTAAACGATGTTTTATATCTTAAATTAAAGAAAACCGACTTTCCTTCACGCTATAATTGGGGTTCAAAAGAAAACCGACAAAACTGACCTATGCTAACATTCCTTCACGCTTTAATTTGGGTTTCTTCACGCTTTAATTTGGTTTTCAAAAGAAAACTACCGGTCTTAACATTCCTTCACGCTTTAATTGGGATTTCTTCATGCTATAATTGGGATACAAAAGAAAACCGGCAGCCCTTCACGCTATAATTGGGGTTCAAAAGAAAACCGACTGTCCTTCACGCTATAATTAGGGTTTCAAAACAAAACTGACCTATCCTAACATTCCTTCACGCTTTAATTGGAGTTTGAAAACAAAACTGACCTATCCGAACATATCTTCACGCTATAATTGCGGTTTCTTCACGGTATAATTAGGGTTCAAAAGGAAACCGACATTCCTTCACGCTATAATTGGGGTTCAAAAGAAAACCGACTGTCCTTCACGCTATAATTAGGGTTTCAAAACAAAACTGACCTATCCTAACATTGCCCAATATTTTTATCAGAATTGATTGAGATTTGTAAACATAACTAAAACAGCTCAACTTTTCTTTTCTGGAAGTCATTGCTCATTTTTTTTAAATCTTACCACGTTAAAACACATTCTTTGATATCATGACATGTCAGCTACTTTTATATCTCTTCTAGTTTCGAAGATAGCATTAATTAATGTTTATAAATGTCACTAGATGGCGCTACCTTCTACGCGTCTTTGTCAAGTGACATTTCTTGACGTTTCATTAAAAAATTTTTTTTTAATCATTTTGCGTTAGAAATAAAACTAAAATTAGAGACTTTAAGGTTAAAAAATTTTTTAGTTAGTTTTATTTTTTATTCCATCGGCGGAAAAATCTACAAAAATGTTGTGGTTAAAATAATTTTTTGTTTCAAAGTTTTCAACCCTGCCGTTACCATGGTGATTTGTCAATAAGCACCGACATCTTTAAAAAAAGTCACTTGTTGCATCAAGAGAAAGTTTTATAACAATTATCGCGATTATATTAAACAATATTCGCATAAAATGAAGTTAAAATATCCTTTTTTTAAAGCGGAGTAAGTACATTCAACTTTTGTAACGAATTAGTTGTTATTGCGTTGTGCATTTTTCCTTAACCTAACCTAATTTTTTCAAGGACTATTTAATTCGTAATTCGGGTTTAGCCGTGCGTCTCTCAAGACGGCTAAATCCAAATGATTCTAGTTCTAGGTATTGTGTTAGTTCTAGTGATAGTGCTAGTGTAAAAGTAGAACTAACACTAGTCATAGAACTGGAAACATTCGGATTTAGTCGCACGTCTCTCAATATGGGAATGATTCTAGTTCTAAGTCTTGTGTTAGTTCTGGTGATAGTGCTAGTGCAAAACTAGAACTAGCACTAAAACTATATTAACTAGTTCTATGAATGCGATGCAATCCAAATTAAATTGATTCTTTTCAACCCGAATCTTGCAAAAAGAAATCGGTAAAACCTGGTTTTTAGAGAATTACAAATTGACAGAAATGTTTTGTTTCCTGATTTGCTGTTCTAAATAATAAGGAATGCTATACAACCCAAATTAAACTGATCAGAAATTCTGTTCAACCCAAATCTTGCAAAAATATCCTGCTAAATAATTCCTTAAAAGCTGGTGTCTTCTGCGTCTAAGTTTCCTGATGTTTCTTTGATTATTGATCCAATGAAGTTTAGTTGTGTATGTTTTCTGATGTTTGGGATCAGTTGTGCAAGATAAATAGAGGTCTGTCCAGTGACGTTGTTTTTACGTCAGTGCTGGCTGGTGGTCTAGCAGGATTTGGAACAATACCGAGTTCAATTACGATACTTCTAGTATGAGAAGAATGTTGATGTTTGAACATCAATGATGTTATTTACTTTTATAATAAAGTGTGGTCCAAAGCAAGGCTTCTTCATTTTATTAGTTTTGGTAGTGATCTGGAAATACACTATTCCCCAATACACTCTATACTATACAGATGAGATTACAGCATGCAATAAAATCTGATCTGGTTGAGACATTTATGTTTATATGGTTGGATTTAGACAGTCTAAAATTAAAAATGCTTTGAGATATTGTGACGTGATTGGAATGATTCTGTATAAAATGAAAATCTTATAAAATGTCGGGCTGAGTTGCAACTTTTTTTTTATGGATAATGAGGTTACACCGAAATTTTTTAGAAATAAGGATGAGTTGGGTTACGGCACAAATAGGTTATGTGCTTCGGAGCAGAATCTTATTCTAGTACGAAATCAAAGAAATGGTACGATAGTTGCACCCTTCTTAAGTATAGGAATGAAAGTAGAGGCAGACCAATCCTTGGGCCATGTTGATTTAGATTTTGCAAAAGTTAGGAGTAAAAAAATAGGAGTATTAATAATATCCTGGAAATTTTCCTTTTTTGAAGACCTCCTCCACTTTTGCTTGCAAGATATCCGGTTCGTACAGAATCTTTCTAGCACTACCTATCATTGTCACTAGAACTAACATTAGACCTAGAATTAGAATCATTTAGGTTTAGCTGTCTTAAGCGTTTAAATATTTTCATAAACTCACAAAAAACCGAAAATATTGAAAAGACGAAAAAAATTTTGATTCCGACAAAATTGTCATTACGGACCTGTATTTTTCAAAAATGTCTAAACGATTCGAAACCATCATGTATGACTCAAAACCTGTTATAATACATTTATATCCCTTAATACATCCCATAATATAAATACGGCCTTATATAAATCAGCAATTAATGTGTACATTTTTTGTCTTTTTTGCCACAAAGACAACGTCAATATACTTTTTTTACATTTCTTTTTTCCATCATGTTCAAAATACATAGTTACATGAATACTTTAGCGTTAAATCCTTTCAAATGCATAATATTGCATACTATAAGGAAATACATATTATAAAAACGAAATTGCCATAAATTTTATGACAGCGCGCCCGCTTGAAGGTTAAATTGACATAAAAAAGTTAGGTTATGTCTGAAACTTCATTCCGAGATAAAAATCGTTTCGTGGCGTCTAAAATCGGTTTAAGTAAGCGGTTAGGATGTTCGAAAATGTTTTTAAATGTTTCTTTCGGTTAAATCGCACCTTTTTTTTTGTAAA